CCTTCCAGAGCTGAGATATCGAAACTCAAAATTTCGACCCGAAAAAAAAACGACAGTGTTACCCCTTACGTTTTTTTTCATTTTCGGGCGAAAAATTAAGTTTCTCCAATCTTCTCAAAACTCTGGATTATGATAGAGGGCTGTGAGACTTTGACCTGAGTGCAAAAATGGAGGCTCTAGACCCTTCCAGAGCTGAGATATCGAAACTCAAAATTTCGACCCGAAAAAAAAAACGACAGTGTTACCCCTTACGTTTTTTTTCTTTTCGGGCGAAAAATTAAGTTTCTCCAATCTTCTCAAAACTCTGGATTATGATAGAGGGCTGTGAGACTTTGACCTGAGTGCAAAAATGGAGGCTCTAGACCCTTCCAGAGCTGAGATATCGAAACTCAAAATTTCGACCCGAAAAAAAAAACGACAGTGTTACCCCTTACGTTTTTTTTCATTTTCGGGCGAAAAATTAAGTTTCTCCAATCTTCTCAAAACTCTGGATTATGATAGAGGGCTGTGAGACTTTGACCTGAGTGCAAAAATGGAGGCTCTAGACCCTTCCAGAGCTGAGATATCGAAACTCAAAATTTCGACCCGAAAAAAAAACGACAGTGTTACCCCTTACGTTTTTTTTTTTTTGGGCGAAAAATTAAGTTTCCCCAATCTTCTCAAAACTCTGGATTCTGAAGAGGGCCATGAGACTTAGACCTGAGTGCAAAAATGGAGGCTCTAGACCCTTCCAGAGCTGAGATATCGAAACTCAAAATTTCGACCCGAAAAAAAAAACGACAGTGTTACCCCTTACGTTTTTTTTTTTTGGGCGAAAAATTAAGTTCTCCAATCTTCTCAAAACTCTGGATTCTGATAGAGGGCACTGAGACTTACAAACCTGAGTGCAAAAAATGGAGGCTCTAGACCCTTCCAGAGCTGAGATATCGAAAACTCAAAAATTTCGACCCGAAAAAAAAAGACAGTGTTACCCTTTACGTTTTTTTTTTTTGGGCGAAAATTAAGTATTCCCCAATCTTCTCGAAAACTCTGGATTCTGATAGAGGGCACTGAGACTTACACCTGAGTGCAAAAATGGAGGCTCTAGACCCTTCCAGAGCTGAGATATCGAAACTCAAAATTTCGACCCGAAAAAAAAACGACAGTGTTACCCCTTACGTTTTTTTTTTGGGCGAAAAATTAAGTATCCCAATCTTCTCGAAACTCTGGATTCTGATAGAGGGCACTGAGACTTACACCTGAGTGCAAAAATGGAGGCTCTAGACCCTTCCAGAGCTGAGATATCGAAACTCAAAATTTCGACCCGAAAAAAAACGACAGTGGTTACCCTTACGTTTTTTTTTTTTGGCGAAAATTAAGTTTCCCCAATCTTCTCGAAACTCTGGATTCTGATAGAGGGCACTGAGACTTTACACCTGAGTGCAAAAATGGAGGCTCTAGACCCCTTCCAGAGCTGAGATATCAAAACTCAAAATTTCGACCCGAAAAAAAAACGACAGTGTTACCCTTACGTTTTTTTTTTTTCGGGCGAAAAATTAAAGTTTCTCCAATCTTCTCAAAACTCTGGATTCTGATAGAGGGCTGTGAGACTTTACCTGAGTGCAAAAAATGGAGGCTCTAGACCCTTCCAGAGCTGAGATATCGAAACTCAAAATTTCGACCCGAAAAAAAAAACGACAGTGTTACCCTTACGTTTTTTTTTTTTGGGCGAAAAATTAAGTTTCTCCCAATCTTCTCAAAACTCTGGATTCTGATAGAGGGCCATGAGACTTTGACCTGAGTGCAAAAATGGAGGCTCTAGACCCTTCCAGAGCTGAGATATCGAAACTCAAAATTTCGACCCGAAAAAAAAACGACAGTGTTACCCCTTACGTTTTTTTTTTTTGGGCGAAAAATTAAGTTTCTCCAATCTTCTCAAAACTCTGGATTCTGATAGAGGGCTGTGAGACTTTGACCTGAGTGCAAAAATGGAGGCTCTAGACCCTTCCAGAGCTGAGATATCGAAACTCAAAATTTCGACCCGAAAAAAAAACGACAGTGTTACCCCTTACGTTTTTTTTTTTTCGGGCGAAAAATTAAGTTTCTCCAATCTTCTCAAAACTCTGGATTCTGATAGAGGGCCATGAGACTTTGACCTGAGTGCAAAAATGGAGGCTCTAGACCCTTCCAGAGCTGAGATATCGAAACTCAAAAATTCGACCCGAAAAAAAAACGACAGTGTTACCCCTTACGTTTTTTTTTTTTCGGGCGAAAAATTAAGTTTCTCCAATCTTCTCAAACTCTGGATTCTGATAGAGGGCATGAGACTTTGACCTGAGTGCAAAAATGGAGGCTCTAGACCCTTCCAGAGCTGAGATATCGAAACTCAAAATTTCGACCCGAAAAAAAAACGACAGTGTTACCCCTTACGTTTTTTTTTTTGGGCGAAAAATTAAGTTTCCCCAATCTTCTCAAAACTCTGGATTCTGATAGAGGGCATGAGACTTTAGACCTGAGTGCAAAAATGGAGGCTCTAGACCCTTCCAGAGCTGAGATATCGAAACTCAAAATTTCGACCCGAAAAAAAAACGACAGTTACCCCTTACGTTTTTTTTTTTTGGGCAAAAAATTAAGTTTCCCCAATCTTCTCAAAACTCTGGATTCTGATAGAGGGCACTGAGACTTAGACCTGAGTGCAAAAATGGAGGCTCTAGACCCTTCCAGAGCTGAGATATCGAAACTCAAAATTTCGACCCGAAAAAAAAAACGACAGTGTTACCCCTTACGTTTTTTTTTTTTGGGCGAAAAATTAAGTTCCCCAATCTTCTCAAAACTCTGGATTCTGATAGAGGGCATGAGACTTACACCTGAGTGCAAAAATGGAGGCTCTAGACCCTTCCAGAGCTGAGATATCGAAACTCAAAATTTCGACCCGAAAAAAAAACGACAGTGTTACCCCTTACGTTTTTTTTTTTTGGGCGAAAAATTAAGTATCCCCAATCTTCTCGAAACTCTGGATTCTGATAGAGGGCACTGAGACTTACACCTGAGTGCAAAAATGGAGGCTCTAGACCCTTCCAGAGCTGAGATATCGAAACTCAAAATTTCGACCCGAAAAAAAACGACAGTGTTACCCCTTACGTTTTTTTTTTTTGGGCGAAAAATTAAGTATCCCCAATCTTCTCGAAACTCTGGATTCTGATAGAGGGCACTGAGACTTACACCTGAGTGCAAAAAATGGAGGCTCTAGACCCTTCCAGAGCTGAGATATCGAAACTACAAAATTTCGACCCGAAAAAAAAGACAGTGTTACCCTTACGTTTTTTTTTTTGGGCGAAAAATTAAGTATCCCCATCTTCTCGAACTCTGGATTCTGATAGAGGGCCTGAGACTTACACTGAGTGCAAAAATGGAGGCTCTAGACCCTTCCAGAGCTGAGATATCGAAACTTCAAAATTTTCGACCCGAAAAAAAAACGACAGTGTTTACCCCTTACGTTTTTTTTTTTTGGGCGAAAAATTAAGTTTCCCCAATCTTCTCGAAACTCTGGATTCTGATAGAGGGCACTGAGACTTACACCTGAGTGCAAAAATGGAGGCTCTAGACCCTTCCAGAGCTGAGATATCGAAACTCAAAATTTCGACCCGAAAAAAAAAACGACAGTGTTACCCCTTACGTTTTTTTTTTTTGGGCGAAAAATTAAGTATCCCCAATCTTCTCGAAACTCTGGATTCTGATAGAGGGCCATGAGCGGGTCCGAGCGGGTCTCGAACCCGGGTCTCTGGCGTGAGAGTCAGGCACTCTAACAAGGAGGCTAAGGACTGTAGCCTCTAGAGTCTGTTGCTAGAGCGCCTATTGAGATCAGGGCAGTGAGGTTTACTCGCACAGCAACTACTAGCTGGCCTCCGTTACACTGAGATATTTATAATGGCATAAATGCAACGTGGGATCTCAATATCTCAGCTCTGGAAGGGTCTAGAGCCTCCATTTTTGCACTCAGGTCTAAGTCCCATGGCACTCTATCAGAATCCAGAGTTTCAAGAAGATTGGAGAAAATTGTTTTTTCACACCAAAAAAAAATGACAGTGCTTTCGTTTTTTTTTTTTTTTTTTTTTTTTTTTGTGCGAAAAATAATTTTCTCCAATCTTCTTGAAACTCTGGATTCTGATAGAGGGCCATGGGACTTAGACCCGAGTGCCAAAATGGAGGCTCTAGACCCCTCCAGAGCTGAGATATTGAGATTCCACGTTGCATTTATGCCATTATAAATATCTCAATATCTCAGTGTAACGGAGGCCAGCTAGTAGTTGCTGTGCGAGTAAACCTCACTCCCCTGATCTGAATAGGCACTCTAGCGACAGACTCTAGAGGCTGCAGTCCTTAGCCTCCTTGTTAGAGTGCCTGACTCTCACGCCAGAGACCTGGGTTCGAGACCCGCTTGGACCCGCTCATGGCCCTCTATCAGAATCCAGAGTTTTGAGAAGATTGGAGAAACGTATTTTTTCGCACCAAAAAAAAAACGACAGTGTTACCCCTTTCGTTTTTTTTGTGCGAAAAAATAAGTTTCTCCAATCTTCTTGAAACTCTGGATTCTTATAGAGGGCCATGGGACTTAGACCTGAGTGCCAAAATGGAGGCTCAAGATCCTTCCAGAGCTGATGTAACCCCTCCACCCGGGTCCCACTCGACCCGGGTCTCGAACCCGGGTCTCCAGCGTGAGAGTCAGGTACTCTAACAAGGAGGCTAAAGACTGCAGCCTCTAGTGTCTGTCGCTAGAGCGCCTATTGAGATCAGGGGAGTGAGGTTTACTCGCACAGCAACTACTAGCTGGCCTCCGTTACACTGAGATATTGAGATATTTATAATGGCATAAATGCAACATGGGATCTCAATATCTCAGCTCTGGAGGGGTCTAGAGCCTCCATTTTGGCACTCGGGTCTAAGTCCCATGGCCCTCTATCAGAATCCAGAGTTTCAAGAAGATTGGAGAAACTTATTTTTCCACACAAAAAAAACAAAACGAAAGGGGTAACACTGCCGGTTTTTTTTTGTGTGCGACAAAATAAGTTTCTCCAATCTTCTTGAAAGATTTTTTTGACCGATCAGCCTGTGTCATCTAGAGATTCATGACAGAACTTTGTATTTATTTATTTAAAAAGGAAGGAATCTTACCTTGATGATGAAACAACAAGCAGCAGTTGGTTTAGAATGTGAGTTAGTTATACTGAATAAGAGTTTAGAAACAGTTCTGTGTGTAAAGTCAAAATTAAACCTTATTGCTTCTTTCATATAAAATAATGTTTGGTGGGACTTTGAGATAAATACCAGTAAAACTGGTATCAGGTGGTTTGAAGATGGAAAAATGTGAGGGCTTGGTCAACTGAAACTGAAAAAATTTAGTAAATACAATTTTATTTTTAACAACATTCACAGATGTTTAATTTGCGTTAAGCTATAGTCTTTTGTCTACTAAAAAGTAAAAAGTGTTTTGATTCCATGTTAATTAAAGAAATTTAAGATTACAGTGATGGTTAAATTATAAAAAAAAAAAGAAAATTAAAAGAAAGCACAGAGCAACAATTATTATAGTTGGGTTGTTTATTTAGAAAACGTATGATTCTGGCAAACAGTCAATGTGTGGTATTTCAATGGACTATATTATCATTTTATTTAGATCCAAGTCTTGAAATGATCACAGCGGATTACTTATAAACGTCTTCAAGATTCAGTTTCAAACATCTTCTTCCTGCCACCCATACCAGCCTTATCCTCAATGTTCTTACGCCAGTCTCCAACATCACGCAGTTCCTTATCCTGTAAAAAAAGGGGGTTTTCAGTGACCTGGAAGTTGTCTGATCACCTAAAAATGAAAATGTGGTCATCTTTTGTTGTCACCTCCTCTTTGACCTCCTTCTTGACTTGTTTCAGGTTGGCTCTCAGATCCATGGAGACCTTGTGCTTGGAGCCCAGAAGAGCCTGAAGCATGGCGTCAGCAGACATGCGCACTTTCTTCAAAGGAGGCTTCTTGAACTTGCCTTTCAGGTCAACGATCTTGATATTTAAGTCTTTGACCTAAAACACACAAATAATCTCACAGCTGACCACATCGACGATGGACCACATAGAAGATGCACAAGAAACATCTTACCTCATTAACGACCATGATGGCTTTGTGCTCAAGAATATATCTCTCCTCATCAATAACATCGATTTTTTCATGTAACTCTTTGCAGAGCGCCTGTTGGCAGAATAAAATTCACGCTAAAGCTTTGAATTTCCCAAAAACCTTCTAGAAGTAAAGATAACCGGATTGGACCTGTAGTTCTTCTTTGGAGCTTGGACATGAAAACGGAGGACAATGTTCTTCCATGTATCTTATCCTCTCGTCCTCCTTCTCGATTTTCTCCGCTTCTAGTAAGTCTTTTGCAACCACGAGCATCAAGCTCTACAAGAAAATGTGATTAATTGAGAATCTTAGTATACTTATAATGTTTAATGGTTGGTTTAAATTGTTGGTTTGGTTCAACTGATAAAACACAAGCTCTTACCTTCAGGCTGTGTTTTTTACTACTAGACATTCGTTTTCTAATAAAGAGAAGAAATAGTGACATATTTTACATTAGGATATTCACCTCTGTATTGTGCCATTTACATAGACAAATTACCATTTGTTCTACACAATACAATAAGTTCATAAAAACTAATTCAGGAGCAAAACAGACCCCTTTTTAAAACATTTTTAGCCTTAGAGCCCATCCACACAGAATGCAGTTTTAATTGTTTCTCGAAACATGCATTGCTGATGGGGTGTCATGTTAAAATGTGTCCTACATTCTGACACTGTGCTTTGCCTCGCATAAAATTCTTAAGGCTAGAATCCACTAGATGACGTTTAAAATCTGAACAGATCTTAAAACACTAGGCATCATACACTTGCTGACTTTGTAAATGGTCACAGAGAAAAACTGGGCGTTATATACTAAACGACTTACACACTACCAGACTTTTAAGTCTTTCAAACTCACACAGAAACATGTTAGGAGATGCATGAAAATGTGGGACAGATTTACTAACAGCTTCCGCCAATGCAAACCCCCTTTTGCCGTTAAGAACTACCATCAGGATTTAGTAAAGAGAAAAATCGGCGAAAAAGACACAACACGGCGACGGCTATTTTTGAGGCTGACCTTATTGCATATGGCTTTAAAGAAGTTTCCCTTGGACTCTATAGACTCTTCCCTGGGAGGAGAGTATTTAAAAGAATCAAGGTGATTTACTAAAGTTTGCGCTAGTCAATCTACTAGTATTTGCGCCATTATTTAACGCCTAAAATCATGTCTTAAACCAAAAGCTATTTGAGCTGCTCTTGGTAGAGTACGTTGGTCATTCTGAAAATGACCCGGCTGCGTCTGTGTTCTTTTATTTGTGCATCGTCAGTAGATCCAAGATCTTTCCACTCCCAACACACACTATGCGATCCATCAACTATGACTTCCCAATACATGTAGACTTTCATCAACAAGGACAGTCTCAACCAGACTGCAAATCAAGCCAAAAATCTGTGCAAACGTCACTAGCGCGTTCCAGCCTTTAGTTTCTGATTAAGACATTTTTTTATATTGATAGAATGTTAGCCATTGAAAACATAAAATATTTGCATTCTTTACTAAAGCAGGTTTATCTTTTCCGTTTCCTCCGAGAAACTTTGCGTTTCCTGGTAAAGAACAGGCACTGGTATATTCTTCAAAATAATGAATGGATTGTATACTTACTCAGACATTTTGGAGATTGTTCTTTACAACTTTGACAGGAAGAGAAAAGAGAAATGCATTAGAAGCCAAAAAATACACTTTACGCAAGTATGAGAACACAAATGTTTCTTGGTACACAAGCAACATTGCCACAAAGGGCTCTATAGCATGCATTCGTACAAACTGTCTTCTACTGTCATGGTGGAGCAGCAGTGATGAGAAATTTAAACTGTCGACAGCACTGATTAATTAGCACCCCCCCCCCCCCCCCCCCCTTAATCAAAGACACCTGAACTCGATAATAATGTATTTAGAGTTACAGGTCGAGTTAGATCAGGGTGTGATCTAAACTCTGCAGGCCAGCGGCCATCCAGAGATGGATTTGAGAAACCCAGCCATTGACATTCTGATCATATGAGCTTTTTTTGCATTACCCTTAATGTCACCACATGGTCCCCAAGCCTCTTTGACTCATCCGAGAGGATTTTCTCTAGGAGGTCACTGCAATATGATCTCAAGGCCAGAACATCAGCTGCAAACACAGCCCCATACTCAAGAGCATCTCTGGGATGTCAAAGATATGACAACACAGCTCTCCTTTATTCCCATCTAAACAACTGTCTCAAATGTCTTTCTTAATATACTCCTCCTCTGAGAGACAGACGGGACTAACTGGCTAACCGATGACAAACCGATTGACTTATTTGGTACACTTAAATGGACACTTAATGCCTCAATGACATACTTAGAAAGCTGTGAAGACAACAGTCAGGTCACATATTTATCTATTTGAAGAAGGACTATTCTAAGTAGCCATAAGGTGAATGAGGACGCATTTTGCAAAAGCATATGGCAGAATAGATCATAGTCTAAATGCATTAAGTGTCTTCTTGTGTGAGGGTTTAGTAAAAGAACAACTTAAGAACTCTTAAAAGTCAAGACTAATCAATTCTCTGAGGAAAAATATGCATATTCAAGAGCTTCCAGATGGTTAACGCATTTTAAACCATTACACAATGTACAAGAATTACTAAGTCTTTGTGAACAGACCGCATTGTCTTTCAGATTCAAAAGATTATACGAAGACAGCATCGTAGATCAGTTGTTGCTAAGGAGGACCATAAGAAAGTGTTGACAGGTGGAGTAAGACTTAAGGATCAGTCTCAAATTTATGCTCATGTCGGTGTTCACTTTCAAATGGCAGTAAACTGACATCAGCAGACAGTATATTAAACCTGACTTCCCCCTTCAAACGATTTCTCTTCTTTTTAGCATTGTGTTTCCAGAAGGAAAGACTTCAGTTAAAATAAAAATAACGCCAATAACGCCATTTAAAAAAAAGTTAAAATGGCCAATAATGATCATACAATGTTATGACGACTATTTGAAGATATTTTCACAAATAATTCACAAATCAACTTGGTCTAAATGCCCAATAGCTACAAAACTATCCAAACAACAGTACAACACAGAATCTACGTATACAGTACATATATGATCTTTGCAGATGCCTTCTTAACATAGCAAACTAAAAAGAAGAACCAATCCCCATGACAACCTCCTCCATCACATCTATTATCAATCCCACAAACTACATTTTACAACTTCTAACAAATATCTACAAAAAAACGAAAGATAATGAACCGAGGGAACTGCTCTTACCCTTCTCGAAGAACAGAGGAACGTCTTCTAGGGACAGATGGTTGTCAAACCGAGACACGGACTGCAGACATGCTAGGAAGATATATATTGCATTCTCTGATCTCTCTGCAAATCCATGGTTTCTCTTTATGGAAGTGGATTACCTACCAAACCAATGAGCTGACAAGGTCATGAAATACGGCACGATCCCTCCTTCGCTGTGCCTTCAGTATAAATATCCTGTCCTTCAAGGTAGTTATTCTTTTATTCTAAGAATGACTTTCTCACAAAGACATATTTGATTCATAATCATTTATATTCATCCATCCATTGTTTCTATCTATCTATCTATCTATCTATCTATCTATCTATCTATCTATCTATCTATCTATCTATCTATCTATCCATCCATCCATCTATCTATCCATCCATTCATCCATCCATATTTATCTATCCATCTATCCATTTCTATCCATATCTATCCATATCCATCTATCTATCTATCTTTCCATCCATCCATCCATCCATATATATCTATCCATATCCATCTATCCATATCCATCTATCCATCCATCCATCCATCCATATCTATCGATCCATATCTATCTATCTGTCCATATCTGTCCATATCCATCCATCCATCCATCCATATCTATATCTATCTATATCCATCCATTTCTATCTTTATCTATCTATCTATCTATATCCATCCATATCTATCTATCTATCCATCCATCCATCCATCCATCCATCTATCTATCCATCTATCCATATATATCAATCTATCCATCTATCCATCAATCCATCCATCTATCTATATCTATCTATCCATATATATCTATCTATCCATCTATCCATCCATCTATCTATCCATCATCTATCCATCCATCCATCTATATTTATCTATCTATCCATCTATCCATATCTATCTATCCATCTATCCATATCTATCCACATGTATCTATCTGTCCATATCCATCCATCCATCTATCTATCTATCTATCTATCTATCTATCTATCGATCCATCCATCCATCCATCCATCCATCCATCCATCCATCCATAAATAAAGAATGCATTTCATAATGCGATTTACCTTATGTTTGTATGTTCAGCATCATCTGCGTTTCTGGATATCTGTTTCTCACAGGTGCCAGGAAGGCGTCACTGTTACCTGTTATATTTAATCATAATAAAAAGTATGTTATAACCTTTTACTTACTCATTAACCAATAATACAAACTGACAATAAATACCTACTTGTTCCACAGGTTGGTGAAGAAATAGTATTTAAACAAAACTGGTTATAAAGTGGTTTATGGATCAAAATAAACACAGACCATCATTCCTGCTTAAACGTTTTAATGAGTGTGTAAGACATCGATACATGGTTGAGAATGCACATTTCAGGTCCAATATTGAAAAGTGACCACATTTACTCTCCCACAATATAGCAAATGTAAATGGATGTGTTTAAAGAACAGTTTCTCGCAGATTTAAGACAAGGCCCATCATGATTAAGCAGCACATTGAACTTCAAAAAAACGAAAACTTAAATTAAGCCTTAAAAAAGTACAACTATATTTAAGCCTCAGTTTCAAACATCTTCTTCCTGCCATCCATGCCAGACTTGTCTTCAATGTTCTTACGCCAGTCTCCAACGTCACGCAGTTCCTTATCCTAGTATGAGTAAAGAAAAACAAGATTTAGTCAGTGAGCCAATATACTCAGGATTTATTCATTTAGCCGACTCTTTTATCCAAAGCGACTTACAATTGCTATACATGTGAGAGGTCGCACGCCTCTGGAGCGACTAGGGGTTAAGTGCCTTGCTCAGGGACACATTGGTGTCTCACAGTGGATTTGAACCCGGGTCTCTCACACCAAAGGCATGTGTCTTATCCACTGCACCATCACCACCCCAGATCAGCATCTTAGTTCAAAACTCTTTTAGACAAAGCAGTAACATGAACTGCTCACCTCCTCTTTGACCTCCTTCTTGACTTGTTTCAGGTTGGCTCTCAGATCCAGGGACACCTTGTGTTTGGAGCCCAGAAGAGCCCCAAGCATCTGATCGGCAGACATGCGCACTTTCCTCAGCACGGGTTTCTTGAACTTGCCCTTCAGGTCAATGACTTTGATGTTCAGGTCCTCGATCTACAATCAGTCAATGAGGGTTACCGATATAGAAACTACAAGATAAACCACAAATTGGATTGTAATATAATTTAGATGACATCTTACCTCCTTTGCACACTTATTGACTTTCATTTCCAGGTCATATCTCTCCTCGTCGGTTACATCAATTTTGTGGTGAAGCTCCCTGCACAATTCCTATGAACAATTTGTTTTATTTTATCCACTTTCATTAAATGTCCTCTAAGATGTCAAGCACATATTTATTGATTATTTATTATTATACCTGTAATGCCTGCAAGGATCCAGGTAGAGAAAGAGGCTGGCAGGTTTCTGACATGTATCTCTTCCTCTCCACCTCTATGTCCTTTTCTTCCTGTTCCAGTAAACCTTTAGCGATAGCAAGCATCAAGCTCTGGGACACAGAGAGGCAGGGTGTCATTAGTAATCATGAATGGTCGATGAAAAATTGGTTTTATTTAAAATCACACTGTACCTTTAGATGATGCTTGCGACTCGAGGACATCTTTTTCCTGAGGTGTTTTGAAAATGTGAGATCAGTCAAAAACATTGTGTAAAGCAATAACTAACAACCATAAGACACTATTATTTTATATTCAACAAACACAAACGTAAAAATATACTACCACAGCAAACAAAGATTATGATCATCTAAAAAGGGGAATTCAGAATAGTTACTTACTCCGACATCTTGCCTGAATTTTACTCTTAGCCCCCTGTGAAATAATACACACTTTACAATTAATAAAGCACTGGTCAAATTACAGTGTGTAATTAAATTAATAATGACTATTTTTATCAGCAAGGAAAAAGGACTGTGCATGGACTATTTAAAATGTGCTTTGTTAGTGTTTAAGTTTGTATGGTTTAATAATAAAAAAAACATGAATGCATGCACATTTTTATTCTTTTCTCATCATTTATTCAATTATTGATTCATTCACTTTAATACGATTGTTCAATATAACAACTACTGTAAAAGAAAATAATTGTAATTTTGTAAAAATTGGTTAACAGAAAGTTTATGTACTATATAAGGTAAATAACTGTGATATAATTTTACTGTTAAAAAACGTAAAATGTACAGTTTTTGAAAGTGAAAAAGAATAACTCTTTGTATAATTTACAGTGAAAAAATGTAAATTGACATTCCCACAATTCCCTGTGTGACACTTTACTTTTTATGAATTTTTGTTGAAATAAGTATTATTCCTCATAATTTTCTTTTCTTTTTTTGTACATTAGGGTTTTGTATTACATTTAATGTGGTTAAATTTCATGTTACCATGGTGGTGTTTATTGTTTGTGTGAATTGGTTGTCAATGTATTACAATGGTACAAATCAGATATCAGTACTTCAATGGGTTGGTATATTAACAATATATCAGATAAATTATCTGAGATAATGAAATACAGTTTATTACTGTAAATTTTAAGTTAAGTGTGTAAGACCATTAACGCTACTACCGTATTTTTGATAGTAAAGTTCTATTAGCTGTAAGAATCGCACGGTGCATAAAATGCAATAACAAAAGTCTTAATTTCCCAAACAGCATGATAATACAGGAACAAAACAACTACTTCAACACAAATGACATGGGACAATGAACACAGGTCACTAGCGTTTAAATACAGAGTGTGACGCGCAAGGTGGGCTGAGAGCCGTGGGAATGGAGCGAGTTGATCGCTCACCAGTTCCTGCCTCCTTCTTCCCTAATCAACAAACCTTGTTACAATGAGTAATCAACAGAACTAAGGCTGTGTGTCCACCAAAGCATTGTTCAGAATATTTACAATGGACGGGAACAATGAACAGAGGAAAGTAAGTGTTTAAATTCACAGACAGATTAATCAACAGAGCTTAGAACAGGTGAGGAACTAATCACCAGGAAAACAGACGAAACGAAAGCAAAACACAATGAAACCAAGCAGACTTAAACATAACCCTGACATTTATAATATAATCATCATTGTGTTCAAATACGGTAAGGCAGTGGTGGAGTCTTCTGGTCCAAAGTGAATCATCTGCTATTTTTGGGCAGAAGGTATAAGTTTTCCATCTCCTGAGATCTTCTGTGCTAAGCCTGTTTCTGGGTGATCATCAAAACCTTGACCCCGCCTCCATTCCTTCCCTTCCAATCATCTGCAACTGATCCAACGCAATGTTCAAATCATGACATCAACTTTTTCCACTTAAACCCCTTTCTTGTGGTTTTAATTTCCATTTATTAAAGGCTGAGCCTAAGCAAATGATCAAAATTAATTTATTTCCAATGAAATAAATGACTTTTTTTCCCCACTGGATGAAAATTCTATAATTTACTAACTCACATATATTATATTATAGTTTAAATAAATGTGTCAAATAACATTAAACTTCATTTAATATTTACAAAATAAATGTCCCTAATAGGATGACAAAAGTATATAATAATTAGTTAAAAACGGAGCAACTGTCTATCTGTGTCGGGATTACTCTTAGAATCTAAGTATGACAATGAGTACCATTGTGATAATGTGAGTAAATATGTAGTAAAGTCCTTTACATTTGAACAATGCTAATACCCCAGATTTAAGCCATAGCATCATTGTCTAAAGCACCAAAGGGATCCCTAAGGTTCATTTTAGACTCGCCAGCTGAAGTGTTAGTTATTTATTTTAAGATTTGGTCTTGACAGCAAGATAAACATTGGCACATCACCCTCTAGTCCTAACAGCCGCAACGAATCGAGTTTCAAAATCTCAAATCAACACATCTTTCATCGACCAAGTGTGTGTCAAAATACATAGCGATTTTTCAGTAGCAGTTTTTTCATATTCCCAACAAGAATACAGATTCAATGTCCCATGACAAATACCAATAAAACCAGATTATTGATTTCCCAACAAATCTATCCAAGTCTGCACAAACATTTCTTAAACGCTCTGAAAAATGATATCATGCACAAACTACGTATCTCAATTTGTGCTTATAACTGAAACAATAAAAAATAAACAAGCAGGAAAAACACCTTTCAAATGCATCACAAATAGCTTAATTTGGTTAAAATATTAAATCTGTCAATGGCAAAAATGTATACTGTGCAGTTGGTCAAGATTCACACAGATGCTATTACAACATTACCAATAAGATAATGAAATAGAGAAAGCAGCATCTCACCTATGAGCTGAGGCACACGCAGAAGAATGGAGGAAGAACTGGGTCTCTGCAGGGAGCGGGCATCTTAACTACAGTATATATTGTATTCCCCCATGACCAAGGAAATCCCATCTCTCTTTTTATGGTAGTAGATCCATTCAGAGAACCAATAGAAAACACACACCTGAAACACAATATCAAATCCCTCACCTCCACCCGAACCCCTCCATATAAATAACTTCTCTTTAGATTGTGCAGTTTATTTTTAATCTAACAAACTGAAGCCCACACACGAGGCAGCGTTCATTAACACTTTAATAAAAAATGCATTTGCAAAAAATAAAAACTATTGTATTACATATTCTATACTATTGAAAATATTTAATGTACACAAAGGAATACTGCGATTTGATCTGTTTCTCGACTTTCCGAGGAAAGCGCGTCTAGAAAGACAGAAACTTTGAGGCGTAACAGATTGTACTTATGTTTCCAAACAGCTGCTCTGGTGCTGATGGGTACCTGGGACTGGTCCACCCCAAGGCACTCAAATATAGGGGCGTAATTGGCACAGCTGTCAAGCAAAGAGCATGATAAGCATCTGAAAATATGCAAATTAAAGAATAATAATGATTTTCTGTAGATGATTATGGGTTTGTCTAATGAAGAGGAAAAACACATAATCCGTTCTTTAAAGAAACTGTTGAATTAGTGTCAACTGAAAAGAGAAAATTCTCATTTGATAACGTAATAATACAATTGATATTCACTAACTCTTTCATAATATTACCTGAATGATCAATACAATATAATTGACTCTTTATTACAGTTTTTCTCCATTGGTTTGGCTCATTTCTTGAAACAGAAATTATATTTTCAAACCTCTAAGATCATTTGGCAAAACAGTCTTACAGTTCGGCACAAGACTATAGCTCATTTGCAAAAGCTCAAAACTAAATTCATTTCCCATATAAAGAGTCAGTGCCACAAAAATGGCAAAGATCCTTCTCAATAGCTTTGGCTCATTTCTTGATACAGACCGGACGTTCTCAACACTTTTGGTGCTTTTGCACCAAAACTTTTGGTTCACCTTTAAAAGCTCATACCTCTCCCAAAACAGATCACTCATGTGTCAAAACTAAATTTCCTTCTCATTTAGCGCAGTCTCATCCCAAGACGTCATATAACTAACGTCTTGGGACGTCTTTTGAGCATACGTCAACATCCGCCTTTTTAGGGTACCCTTAAACGTCGGTTAGATGACGTTATCAGATTGTAACCCTACCCCAGACCTTAACCTACCCCGTCACCTAACCGACGTTAACCCTCTGGGGTCAATAATGACCCGAAGCGTTTAAATAAAAAAAAAATTTAAAATCGTAGCTTCATCAGAATGGTCCAAAACTTGGTGACTTTAATGGTATTTGTATATGAACACCCCAAAAAAATGGGGACAGGATTTGAAAAGTCTAAGTGGTCGTAAAAAAATAGTCACACTCAGGACAGGAAATTAATGGGAAATTGGCAAAAATGTGAAAATAGTGAGTTTTTTTGTGCGTACAATCTACAAATCCGCAACGATCTTGAAAAAAAGCACACAACAGTGAAGGGGTTAATCTATAAAACATCAAGAGTGCAAAACAGACACATCCACACACACACACAAACACACCAAAAAAATTCAGATTATACATGTATTTTGCATTTTTAAAAAGCTCAGTTTGTCCACGAGATGGCATCCATCTCATTTCAAAAATTGCTTTTATGAGGCCTAGGCTTGACTCCAAAATGAAATGCAGCTTTAAAAAAAAAAAAATTAAATATTTTTTTCTATTATATTCAATGGGGGAAAATTTGGTCATAATTATTACATTAATACTAATTATAAGTTTTTGTATTTTTGAAATTTTCTCAAAACACCAAAAAAAGAAAAGAACAAATATTATAAAAAACAAGTTAAAAAAAAAATTATGATTTTCTTTTTTAAATATGAATCCCGCCCTTTGGGTCAATTTTGACCCGAAGTTCCCGAGTGTGACTGTTAAACGAAGAACCCCAGAGGGTTAAAGGTATAGCATCAGTTCAGTTGTATGACGGCCCGGGATCGTCATGTAACTGACGTTTAAGGTACCCTAAAAAGGCGGATGTTGAGGTATGGTCAAAAGACGTCAGTTATATGATTTCTTGGGATGAGCCTGTGTTACATTTTTAACCAGTCACTGCCCCCAAAATGCTTTGTCCCTATGGCATTGTAAGCACTGTAAGTCAAAATGTTTAGATGTTTTGTCACTATGGTAGAGGACATGGAAATATCCCTCATGTCCACCTTTCAGTCTTAGCCCAGTCCTTCATTGACAATGGTTAGTTTACTGTACTGTTTGTTTTGTCTAGCTAACAGAATACAATTGTGTATAAAACTGAAATATTTGGGTTTTATTTGGATTTTAGGGTAAGAGTAGCCTCCAAGATTTGACATCACACATTGCACTCATACTGCCAAGGAATTGTAATCATTATCATTCACACACATAATGTATATTCAATACATCAAAGAGTTAAAAGAAAATACATTCTCAAAGCAACATGGACACACCAATCTCCACAAGCTCAATATACTGCTGGCCACTACTCCAAACCTGGGGTACATGAGGTACTACAGGGGGTATCTGACAGAAAGGGGAGGGGGAAATCATCAATGACTAGACTTACTGAAATGTTACAGTAAAACCCACAGTATGAGATAGATTTACATGGGAGGCACTACGTAATTGCAGCTCTTTAAGTAGTGGTAAGTTCTCAAATTATATGATCGCATAAAGAAAAATAAAACAATTCACATGACTCAAACAAATGACATATGACAAGAAAGTCAGTGCATTAGATTCTCTTTAATATCAACAAGTACAAATGCATTTTCGTCAAAAACGTGATACAGAAAATACATTGCCTCACATTATTCTGGTTTCTAACGCATTGAGAATGTCTTCTAGGCCAATAAAGTCAACCTGAGAATTCATATTGTTAGACCTTTATACAGGGTGAGATCAGCCATCCAAAAGAAAAACGTGTTTAAATAGGCTAATGAAGAAGAATAAAGCAACAGTTCCATTTGAATCGAAATACAGCTTTACTAATGTTAGAAGCTAATTGCTGGCCCGTAGAAGAAGGTAATGAACACACTGATTGACGTCACCACCACACTGATTGAAGTACAGACACTATTCACTGTGAGCACTGCTATGAAAACTTTACAACAGCTTATTCAGATGGAACTGATCCCTGCCAATGCCATACATACATCACAAAATTACAACCGACAAGGAGCATTTCCTGAACATTTCAAAGCATAAAGACAGCATATTTGTCTATGCCTGATGAGTGCATACAGTGTGCGCGTGTGAATGTCACATTAACCACACTGGGACAAGGTCAAAGTTCAAACAAAAGGCACCAAAACTCAGGAGGGTCTTTCTTCACCAAATTGCACACTACATATCAAAATATAATAATCACTGTTGACAAGCATAAGCCATGTCATATATTTGAGAGCTGTTTTCCCAGGAAGCAGACGTATGTCATCAAGACACATTACACACACGATATCACAAAAAAAATACCCAGTTTTTAAATACCCAGCAGACTCACTTACATTTGAAACCATAAATGTTGCAAAACCTGGAAGCAAGCAACCACACAATGCGAAAACCTACATTGCTTCCATTCTAATCAACAATACACTCTTAGAAATAAAGGTACAAAAGCTGTCACTGGGGCTGTACCTTTTCAAAAGGTAAACTTTTGTCCATTTTAGGTGCTAAAAAGTACATTTTAGTTGTTAAAATATGTACATTTTATGTCCTAATATGTTCATTTTAGGTCCTAATATGTACATTTTAAGTGTTAATATGTACATTTCAGGAGCTATGTACATTTTAGGTGCTAATATGTACATTTTAGGTACTAATATGTATCTTTTAGGTGTTAATATATACATTTTAGTTGCTTAAATGTACCACTAAGGTACCAATATGCAGCCTTTGGGTACAAAAGTGTACCTTTTGAAAAGGTACAGCCCCAGTGACAGCTTTTGTACCTTTTTTTCTGAGAGTGACACTACACACTAAGATATTTGTTGCATTGGAATTTAAATTGGGTTTAATTTATATCAGGGAACATAAAGGATTCTTATTCTCTAAATGAAATGTCCAAGTTGTCTCTGTGACATACATGTGCTAGGGTTGTTGTTGCGTTTTTTTAAATGGCAAAATAAAAATTCAATAGAAACCAGGTACAACAATCAAAGCATAGACATTATCATAAAAATATTTTTGATCTATATTCACTGCATTAAATCAAACTAAGTCATGTGTCAACAAACATGTGCATTTCCTTGTGGTTAGTGCAATATCAAGCCTTTGCAACTGAGCATTGCTCCACAACTCACTTTCCAAATACCAAGACTCCCTAAAAGGTACAAAGAGGGCCAGATTCAATTACATTATCGCAAAATTCACATTTTTATCCAAGCACTGAAATCAGTATTTGATCAAACATGTTGAAAATTAAACATTTAATAAAAGAAGCTTAGTACATGAAATGACTCCTCATAGAGGACTACTCAACCCTGGATAAACATAGCGAAATATCAACCAATTTTCAAAAGAATAAGGAGGCTAACCAAGGTTGTGCTTTTTACAGCCAGATACGATGACTAATCATGTTTAGTCCTCAATCTGTTAAAGTGTTAGAGATGTTGAATTGATAATACTCCAGTTTGACGTTTCAGCCTCAGTAGTGGCGTTCGCAGTCATATATGACATCGTTTCATCTCCTGAGTTCCCACTAAAAGTCTTCCTCAGCATAAACCTGCACAGCATGGCTATTTACCCATGTGAAGAAGAAGAAGAAATAAGAGATATTCCCAAACAAATCCCATTGTTTAGCAGCAGCACAAAGCGTGTTTGTAAAAACGAATGACTCATATTTTCTCTAAAATGGCCACCGAACAACTTAAGTAATTTTCACAGATAGCACTCACACCATGACATCCATCGCAGTTAACACACCAAAAAGCTGCCTTTCACTGTTAACAAAGGAATTAATGTACAAAGTAAAAGCACAAACTACAAAAACGGTCAAATAAAACTGAGGTTCCCCAAGGCTCTCTATTAGGTCCAAGCCACTTTGCGGGAGATGGCCTGTTTAAAGCACTCTGGGTCCGTGTTCCCGCCGGGTCGCAGCGCTCTTTCGAGACTTACCAGAACGTTCTGATGGGACTCGCGAATGTTGATGGGGTGTTTGGCTCTGAGCAGCTCATAAGCAGCAATAAGCCTCATATTTTGTTTGACCATGAGGTACTGGATAATGCAAGTGGGGGCAAGGGAAATACCATCCCGACAATGGACCAACACTCGCTTCCTCTTCTCCGTGGAGGCATCGATGCACTCGTTGATGTCCTCAAAGCACCGGTGCTTGAGGGCGAGGCCTTCTTGGACGGTGTCCGGGAGGTCGCTCATGTCCACTTTGAGCCGAGACCAACTATGCTTGACGCCCCTTGAACAAGTGCAAGGAATGACTCTCAAACAAGTCTCCCCAGGTAGGCTGCTCATGTCGATGATGCTATCGATGTTATTTCGGCACAACGTACGTCCGCTATAAGCCGCGTTCAGGTTGCCCACGTAAATGTAGTCTGTGACCTTGGATATAACCGGATCCGAGTACTGGAAGTGTTCAGAGACGCTCTGCTTGGGTTCTGGAGTCTCTGGGCCCGTCTTGGCACTGCCGGGAACTGCTCTGCGACTGTAGTTGCGCATTTTCTTGGATCCCGAGCGGGAAGGGGGGTTAGAGTCAGACTCAGAGCTGCTGTTCCAAGGAGGGGAGAAGAGTGAAAAGCGACTAGAGGACTTGCTCTTGGTGAGGTGCTCCACCGGACTGGAGAGGCCAGAGCTGGTGCTGGTGGAGCCAGAAGCGCAAAACAGAGACGCTCTTTCAAGGGAGCCTGTGCTGCTGGCCGCTCCGGCACTATGGGCCTGCTCCATCTGACGAAAAAAAAAAAAAGTCACACCCAGGGACGTGCACAGACATTTTGAGGGGCAGGGGCTCAAATGGAAAAAAAGGGCACTTCTCATTTTTTTTTAAACAAAAAAGTATATCCACAAGTTTCCGAGGGGCGCTCCTGTAAAAAATAAAGTGGGTGAAACTTCCGGTGAGGCGGCGGAAGTAGCATTCCAATGGTATTTTGTGTGTTAGTTAGCGAAGAGGCTAGCTGTTTTTCGGAGAATTATTTTACTATTTAAAGACGCAAATCTTTATGAGAGATGTCGTTACGGAGCTCAGGGACAACATGTGCTGTTCGCGGTTGTACGTATAACCGGACTAAACTAATTCAGTGGCTTAAACGTGATTGTTTTAAAAACGAAATCAGAGTGATCCTGCCAACGACTGTAGTTTCCATCACCTCCCAAAAGACGACGAATCTTCCTGTGTACATTTGTTTAAATTCTTAATATGCTATAAAATCTATCAGCATGTGATTGGCTGTTCGCTACTGATGTTACAGAATTTGACAGAATACCAAATATGCCAGTTAATGTATTCAAGTAGCACATTCATTTATAATTTTGAATAAACTCCAAAGCACAATGACTAAGTGTGTATTTTTTATTTTAATTGTTTGTCAGCTCGCACAACTGTCTGTCGCCATGCCTTGATGAGTATTGATTATTAATAATGTTATTATAATACTCCCAATCAACGACTGCGGAGGGTAAAGGTACTGTTATTTCACCCTTTTGAATTTTGTTGAGGTTGTGTTCCCACATCGTTAGCTAGTTTGGATCGCTATAACTTGAATGACTGTCAACTGTTGAATGAACGAGTGTCAAGCATGTCAAGTCGCGCTTGGTTTACTTCGAACCGGAAGTCGCGCCCACTTTTGACGCAAGGCCTCATGGGGCGTAGGACACTTGTGGATATATTACCAACTCTAATATTTTTTTTTAAATATTTAAAAAGGTAATTAATTTTATCTTTCTCAAACTCATACAATTGTTTAATTTTCAAAAGATGTCTACTTACTAAAATACTCAGTTCACACAGAAAACATGGTCTCCTTAGTATTTATTTATTTATTTTATTTATTATAATTATTTAACAGGGACAGTGTATGGCATGCAGCCATACCAGAATTAGCTACAAGCTAAATTTCATCTGTAGTCCCTGGGCAGGAAAGGAAAACATACAACCAACAATCCAGCAACACATATAAAACATCATCACACAAGCTTCATGGAACAATTGACAATCAACAGACACATATATATCATAAAAACATCACACAAATCACCTCTCAGACAACAAGTTTCACATGATCAATGGGCACATGATTGTATAGATTTTAACCATAATTTCACATTATATTTAAAACAATTGAATGTACTAATGTCTCTAATTCCAGTGTTTAGAGGCACTGATAGAGAAGGCTGATCTGCCAAACTCGGTAGGTCTGTGTTGAATGGCATATTCATAGGTTTATAGAGCAGCAAATGAAACCATGCCACAGTGTGTCAATCAAGTATATATTTGATACACCTGATGGTGACATGGCCTTCACATTTGAGGGAAAACTGTCTCATCATCAAATAAAACCTTCAAAATCCACATTTCAAGTTTGTTTCTGTTTGCATCTGTAGATTTCTTCTAAATTCACCAATTTAGATGTCTAAACTTCAGGGGAAAGACTCTTGATGTAGCTATGCAAGTCATTAATTTTAATAATAAGAATTTTAGGCCATACAAATTCATAAAAACGTCCGGATTTTCCATACAAGGCCATAAATTACATTTAGCCACGTCTTAAATTGATATGCTCATTCATTCATTATCACTATACAATTTTTCGCGATAAAACGATATCAGATCAGATTATTTTATTTCATGCCATGTCAGCAGTCAGAGCTATTTTCATGGCAAAAAATTAATTTACAAAAATACAAATATCAACAAAAACAAAACAAATATAAACAAGAAGTCATATTAAACAATATATTTTTTTTAAATTAACATATTATAACAACCTTTTCAGGCATAATCTCATTAAATATGTCCTTCAAAGAAGTAACTTCATAAAAGAGCCTTCTGCTTGCGTTAAGTCCAAGACAATCTAATAAAAAATGTTTGACAGATAAGGGAATTTTACAAAACATACATAAAGTTGGGTCTTCACCTTTAAGCAAAAAAGCATGGGTCAGAAAAACGGTATCAAGTTCAAGTCAAAATCGTCAATACTCGATATCAATATAGAGTTCGATAAACGTGATAAAGTACAACGAAACTCATGTGAATCGCGCGCCTCATGGACTGTTTATCCGCTCGGCTCATAGTCCAAACGGCAGCGCGAGCTCACTAGAGGTGACACGTTTACTCTCATATTTTCAGATAGACTATGCATTAAATATATTTGTTTGACAGGGAAACTGTGCGCAAATAGTAATATGTATTTTCTTAAAGCACCCCAGAAAAAAGGGCACTTTCTCTCCAGGAATAAAAAGGGCAGGTGCTCAAGCCCCCTTTGATGTCTATGTGCGCACGTGCCTGGTCACACCATTACGAAAGGGTTTCAACAAGTTACGAGCAGCTGACTTGAAAGTACTTCCACCTACCTGAGCTTTGAGGTTGTTCTTCCATTCCTGGGTCTCCAGAGCTTTAAAGCGTCCATTGCTGTCGGAGGACACCGAGAGACACAGGGGCCGATGGGTCCTGGGCGGTAGCTGGGGCGTCAAGGCCATGGCTAGCGGCCGGGAGTCGGGCTGCTCGTTCCTATTCATCAGGTCTGGACAGGAGCCTTCCATACACAGAGTAATTGAGATCAATGAACAGCAACTGAGGTTTTTTGTTTTTTACTGTTCTTTAACAAAAAAATTAATGTGCAGGGTTTCCCAAAAATGAAAATTCTGTCACCATTTACTCACTCTCAAGTAGTTTCAAACCCGTAATACTTTCGTTTATCTTCGGAACACAAATGAAGATATTTTAATGAAATATTATCGATTTCTGTCCCACCATTGACACCCTCCAACTAACACTTTAAAGCTTCAAAAAGGTCATAAAACTAATCCTTATGAATTGAGCGGTGTTACGTCCCCAGAGAACTGGGTACGTATTATAGTGATTTTCTTTTCTGCCATTGTTTGTGGTTCTTGTGTTTTTCTTCTTACAGGTAAGATGGCTCTGTAACCATTCCAGCAGCTGATTGGTGGTTCAACGACTGATTGGATCTTGGAACTCCTCCTACTCGTCAGTGGCTGCAGCTGGCTGGGCTCTTTAAAAAGCCTAGTTTTGGATGTGTTCACTCTCTGCTCTGGGCTTTGCACTCTGTTCCTGCTGTTGGTATCCTTTTTTGGGGAACTTAAGGCGCTTTTCCACTGCATAGTACGGTACGGTTCGGTACGGCTCACTTGTGGTGCTTTTCCACTGCATGGTACGGTACAGTACGGTTCGCTTCAGGTCGCTTTAAATGGTACCTGGTCTGTTGAGGTTCCAAGCGTACCGTACCGGTACTAAAATGTGACGTGAAACACTGCAGATCAATGATTGGTCAGACAGAATCGTCACTACCAGCGTCACTACTAGCGTCATTGGATTTGCGACACGAGACACTTTTTTAGCAGTATTTTGTTTTGCTGCCATCAGCCTCATTTTAAACACATTTTTCCGTCTAGCAGTTAAAAACAACCACATACCGAGAATCAGGAACACCATCCCCTCGATAGTCTCCATCGTCCTGTGTTGTGGGTTTGAAAATGTGGCGCTTATAAGATGATGTCATGGCAGTAGAAGCGCGCGCAAATAACGATCAGTCCCACACACTTTGAAGGGGTACTACTGCAGTGGAAACGAAAAGCGATCCGAACTGTTCCGCGCCGAGTCGAAGCGTACTGGGCCGAACCGTACCGTACTATGCAGTGGAAAAGCGCCATTAGATTACTTTATTGTTGTCTATTTGAGATTAGGATTGGAACATTTGATAATGCTTTTGATAATGTTGTGATCTGATTTGTTAGCTAGTAACTCTAGCTTTGTGTTCCACTTTTGGAACTTGAACAGCAGGACTGAGCTTGTTGTTCGTGAATTATTATTATTATTATTATTGTTTGTGTTAACTTCTTTTTCTTGTTCTTTGTTTATAGGGAGTTGGGGGAGCAGATTTAGAGCTACCCCGGGGTATACATCACCCGTAGGCATACTTCTCTGTCTATAAACACCAGTTAGACCTGGGCGGACCACCATCTGTAATTTTGGTTAGGGCGCCTTGATCGTGTGCCAGATAGGTGATTGGTATAATTAGCGTAGGTTAGTGGTGGGGTATTTTTGTTTATTTCTTTTCTTTGGTTCGTCCAGCTCTCCCCTTTCTCCCTTAAATTTGTTTATCATTTACATTATTACCGTGACAAAAATAAAAACACAGTTTGTACGGTATTTGGAATTTGTCTCCTTTTCTTGCACCACGACTCCATTCCTTTTTTGCTGGCATTTGTGGGTCTGAGCAGAGGGTTATCAGGTTCCCCTCCCTTTTTGGGGGCTGGAACGTAACAAGCGGTTTAGTCCAAATTTCCCAATGAGGTTCAGTCTCGTGTTACGCCGCACGTTTGAGCTTCAGCAAGAACCAATGAGGTTCATTCTCATGTTACGCATCACGTTTGAGCTTTGTTCAAGAGGTTAGTTCTTGCTCATCAAGCAGGTTCAGTTGAGCTTATGTTTATGTTCGCTGATCAATGTTTATATGTGAATAAATGCCTAGATTCAATCTATTCATCATATAAAAGCGATCATGTCTTTAGAAAATTTGGACTAAGCCACTCGATTCATATTTATTAGTTCTATGATCTCTTTATGAACGTTTTGAAGCATCAACATGGTAGTCGTGTAGCCGTCAATGGAGATCACAAATTCATTTGTGTTCCAAAGATGAACGAAAGTCCTCCTGTTTTGGAGCAACAGGAGGGTGAGTAAATGACAGAATTTTCTAAATCGTGTGAACCAACCCTGTAAGTTTCTCCCTATAAGGCACCTGTCCGTCAGTGAGCGTGTGATTCAATGAGGACACTCATTAATGGAGCTGAGAGTTTGATCCAGGACAACACGACTCAGGCATTAATACTCCCACATATCTCACTTCAGACAGCCTTTCCATCGTGTCATTGCTTCGCCAATTTACTGTGTATGTTTGTTTACATGACACAATGCTAAAAAGCAGTTTAGCTTTTAAAATGTAGCCAGCTGCGACTAAATTTTAAGTATCCGCACATTAGCAAAACAACCAGTCGACAGTGCTGAAAGACAATCAGACTCATGAATAATCGCCAAACATATGAAACAGTTATATGCAATGGGTTCTTGTTTTAAAGATAAATTCTCAATATGAAATCCCTTGTTATTTCGTAAGCTTTCTTTTATTTATTTGCAGTCAAATTTACTCTCATTATACTAAATAACGTTTGTTAAGATTGTATTGCCATATGGATGGAATATATATGGAGAACATACCAATAAGATGTTTAACAGAAATACATATTTGATAGACAGTGACATCGAGCAGCACAATACAGAAATGATGTCCTGAAAAATCCAAAGTTACACATGAACACAAACTGTAGTACTTACCAGTGGCACATGCTGAACGAGAAATGGGCTGGAGCTGCAAACGATTGCGAATCTTGAGAGAGTTCAGTAGATTTTTTGCAATCATGCCTGGATAAAACAAAATAAAATACTGATGTTGTCTGAACCAGAAACAAATCACCAGCAGGGTGAAGAAAAGCAAATATCCTATGATGAAATCAAATTTGCAGTTGTGTGGTTTTAGTGCATGTTTGCGTTCGGGGGTGTTTAATCTAATCAAATGGTCTCTAGAAAATAACTGTGGAAGCGGCCAACAAATCACAAAAATCGAAACTTTTAAACTTAAATGATTTGAAACATTAATAATTCAGAGTCTTAAAATATAAAATGAACATGGAAATATGCTGTACTGTTTTCCCACACCTTCTGACCAATTAATATCTCATATGAAAATTGTACACAGTACTAGTTAAGTCAATACTTAAATCTAAAAAGATATGGAGAAATAAAACAAGCAAACACTTTCTTTGAAAAACTCAAATCTGAATGTTATACTGAAATCCTACTAATATGTAAGCCTAACACAGTGTAAAGATGAACTGTAACTGATTGACTTTTTTTGTACTCCTATGGTGATCATTTCTATATTTTAAGGTACACAGTCCAAGAATGTTATTTTTATAGTATATAACTTAATTTACATTGGTTGCTCCTGTAATGCCTAAAACCTTGTAATAGTTACATTTAAGCTAAAATCCACATCTTTACATAGAAGCAGCATATATGTATATGTTCTATCTAAAGATATGTGGATTTAAATCATTTTTAGGAAGGCAGTTCATCTCAAATTGAAAAAGGTAGGTTGGAAGCAAATCTCACCATTTTGTTTGGAATGATATTTCCTATCCAGCTGATGAGGTGCCATGATGTCTCTGCTCCATTTTTCCAACGTTTCCATCTTCCACCCCCTGTAAACAACATGAGCAATCAGGTTTATTTCTCATCATAAGTGATATTTGCAGTGAGACATGCATATGCTGGTCAGATGTGCGCCTGCAGTGAAGGGGACAGACAGACACCCCCGCACTCAAGCATTCCAGGACAGTCTGTTACAGAAATATATGCAGTGGTTTCACGATCAGAGCCTGCCGAACACAGGCATTATTATATAAACGCACAGTCAATGGCTCGGGTAAAATCATCACTGCGTTAAATGAGCGTTTATGTCTCATCAGTTGTGTGTACAGCTTCATCCGGGTTGATGTGCTGTATCCGAGCATGCTATCGACTCAAAACAGCAGACAGTAGTAACACACAAAAGACAGACGTACAAGACATGTATAACGTTTGAAGCCAGAAAATATATTAAACATAAGATTGTTTTAAACAAACCCCAGCCATTCATCTTTGCAGCGCTCAGCTGAATGAAGCTCACGTGGACAGTGACGTCAGGGAAGCGACATGCTACGCTTCATGGGAAATGTAGTTGGTAAGTGGTCGGCCAAAGTTTCATTTGAATTAAATTTAACCTTAAATTATATATATATATAAGCTCAGTTTCAGTAAAATGAACTGTCTGGAGAGTAACGGTGAAAAGGTTCAATAGTTTTTGCGGGGAAGTGAGTTAGCATCCTACACAGTAAAAGAGGTTAGCATTTTAGCACTCACACCCGTTCCCTCGCTCTAAAGTCTAGAGACGCGGAGATATAGAGACATGTTTCCTAATTTCTGACATGTCTGAAACGTTTTACGTAAGAAAGTGACATAAAGCCTTCTTATACAACTGTCTATGTATAAAGCATGCGAAATCCGATTGGAGTGGTCAGACTGAAACCACATATGAATGTAGCTCACAACCTATTTATAAAAAAAGCATTTCATGTTATTTTTTTGACATTCTAAATATAATTGGGTTCCAATTATACATGAACAATTTCGGTTATATATACATACATAAATACATATATATATATATATATATATATATATATATATATATCCTACACTACCGGTCAAAAGTTTTAGATCGGTAAGATTTTTTATGTTTTTAAAAGAAGTCTCTTCTGCTCTCCAAGGCTGAAATTATTTGATAAAAAAAAATAAATTAAAAAAAACAGTAATATTGTGAAATATTATATATATTTTTTTTCATATAAATTTCATATATTATTTTTATATAAAATTTATTTCAGCCTTTCAAAAACCCACATGAATAAAATCTGTATATGTAAAATCTCAGATTTTTTTTCTGATGGTCTGAACATGGCATTGGAGTCTACTAACCACAGTACCATGTAGTACAAAGATGCTTTTTCTGTTGTTGACTCATTGTCCAATTACATTTGAAAAGCACTGTAGCCTACAAAAGAAACAAAACCTCTTTTCAAATATAGCTACATCAAATCAAATATCTCACCTCGTTTTGCTTACAGCAGATGCTCGTGTGAGAAGGCTGAAACAGCTTGGATCATCAGAGAGAGCGATCACTAGTGAGACACTTTCTCTGGCCTCACACTTCAACCGAACAGCTTCAGGATGCTGCAAGTATCCAGGAAACCCCTCCAAAGCATGATGTCACACACACGCACCTACTTCAAGGTTCAGTCCATTCCAACTATGAATTACCATTTAAAACATAAATTATCTCTAATAGCCTTCTGTAATTTGAGAGATATTTGTCAACAAAGTCAATAAAAAAGTGTTGACTCTGCTGCCTAAATGGATTTTTAATCTTCAACAAACGTAGCAATGAGACAGCTTGGTAACCCTCATAAATGCAGGATCAAATGCGGTATAACACTATCTGCATAACAAAGGGTCGGTCTGTGTTCCTCCATTCAAGATCTGAATTACTTATGACCTGGTTCTCTCGTATGCTCAAGTCCGGTCTTGCACAAACACTCACTGTAGGCTATTATTCCCACCTGTTTCAGAGGTGTGGTCTCCTGAGCACAAAAGACAAGATTTCAATTAGAGACGTAAGACATGCAAATGAGAAGATGTGTTTCATAAAGGCACTTAGGACTGAATCATTCATATCTGGAGTCCAGACGTTTGCTTTACCATGTATGGCTGCGTTGTAGCTGAAGTGGACAGTAGCCTATGCAGTGTCAGATCTCAGTTGTTGCATAACCCAATCTGGTTATGATCAAACGCACACATAAACAATTCTGAGCAATTAATTAAATTGCATTAAATTAGATTGGAAATAAAAGCGTTGTTAAGCACACTTTAATTATTTAATTACTGTTTCATTTAAAAATCTACACACTGTAAAAAAATATTTTCAAGATTTGTTCACAACATATTTTCTTTTGTCAAATCAACTTTATAATAATTTATTTAGTTGAGATAACTTATTATTTTGAGTTTCTGATGATTAAATTAATCTCCTTCATTGTATTAACTCACTTTTTCCAGTTCAATCAACTTAAAATTTTAAGGCAACCCAGGTTACTTACTTTTTTAAGTTAAACCGACAATATTTTTTTACAGTGTAGTAATCACAACATTTTTTCTTTTGTCAAATCATCTCAAATAATTTATTTAGTTCAGATAACATATAATTTTGAGTTTCTGATGATTAAATTAATCTCCTTCATTGTATTAACTCACTTTTTCCAGTTCAATGAACTTAAAATTTTAAGGCAACCAGGTTACTTACTTTTTTAAGTTAAACCAACAATATTTTTTTTTACAGTGCTTGCAATTTTAACTTTAAAAGAATCTGGATTTTTCTCAGGCTATACATTTACTTTTCAGCCTATAGACCAAAAAAGTGATCAAAAGTGACAGTGAAAAACGATTACAGTTTCTATAAAGTTATTACACAACATTGTTGATAATTAGAGATGTTTCTTGAGCACCACATTAGCCTAAAATGTTTTCTGAAGAATCATGTCACACTGAATGTTGAGCCCGTTCTCATCCCAAGACGTCATCTAACTGACGCTTTTGACCATACTATTAACATCCGACGTTTTAGGGTACTCTTTCTAACCCTACCCCAGACCTAAACCTACCCGCGTCATCCAACTGATGCTAAAGGTAAAGCGTCAGTTAGATGAAGCCCTGATCAGGCACATTTAATGCGAAAGCAAATTAACTTGCTTTAATTATTTGAAGTAACTCTGATATTTTGTATTAAATTAAAAAGTAATATGTTACTTGTTACTTGAAAAAGTAATCTGATTACAATTATACCATTATCCCAATTAATTATTTAATCCTATGGCAATTGCTGGATTTGCTGACTGCTATATTCTGCACAGCATGGCAAACTGTAGAAAGAGTATTCCTTTGATCGGATATCAAAGCTGCACTATGATCTCAAAAAGTAAAGACTGGGTCGTGTCAACAGTGTTTTCCATCTCTGCTGATCATAAACCTCCTGTGTGGTGTCCTTTGTGATGGTTAAGGGAAATTCAGAACAACTTACCAACTGCAAAACAACACATAATGGGCTCACGTTTTCACATTTTTATTCAAGTAACATTGGATTTTTCTTTTTCTTTTTTTCAGTTTCATTCAGATGTTTTGGACATGTGGAAAAATGTAAAAAAAAAAAAAAAAAAAAGTTCCATTTTCCACTTAATCAGATTAAACAATGAATTCTGAATGATGAATTTCAAAATGTACCCGAGTGTTCAAAACGTGACTGTGCGAAAGCAACTAATGAATTCTCCAGCCTTTAGCATTCTGTAAAGTTGCTCAAAGGAAGAAAGCTCATTAAAATGCTGTAATTGGCCCACGAGTGTGCTGACAGCCTGATACTCACACCCTTATCTTGTGCTTACTGTATTCACAAGAGAAATCAACATGCCTGATATACAACTGTCTCGTGTCTGTTTTCTAAACCTCAGCACTGAAAACAAGGGTGTAGAATTTAACAGGGACACAAGGGACCCTACCAATATCCAGCGACTACTGAATCGTCTCTAGCAGTAAGTTTGATCAAACGCTAAAAATATATTTATCTGTAACCACTGTTGTGGGTCTTTCCATTGACATTACCTGAGAAGTCAAAGTAAATGTTTAAAAACTGCTCTCTAATGTGCATTTATTGCATGGACAGAGTACGAACATAAGGTAAGTGTTCAAAACACACATGCACAGTTCAGCTGAATGATAAAGTTTAACAACTTAATGAATGAAACAACTTTGAAATAAGAGAGTGCGGTTTACCTTTTTGTATATCAACAGTAGCCTACACCCCAGTCAGATTTTCTTTCAGATTCATCAATGGACATTCATTTTTAAATGAATCTAGCACCATTAAAGGAGCCGTATGCAAGATTGTGGCCAAAACTGGTATTGCAATCTCTTTCAAATTACTGTCGCATTGTAAAAAGTGCTCTACATACACAGCTATAACATCACTGAATTAATTCATTGAAGTCAATGTAGACTTAAAACGTTCATTTCAGTCCCTGAATAACGTTTGTCTCTCAGTTATGAACGCATGCTTGTTTAGATATTCCAGCGTAAAGTACAGAAAGATAAATTGTAATATTGTTCTGTTGGTTTACATAATGAAAATGATGTGATGAGTTGGAAACAAAATCTACAAATAAAGGCTTTGAGATCATGAAAATCACCAATGTCAAAATCAAGCTTATGCTCTTATGTGTACTTTTTATCCCAAGCTTTAAAACACGAGAAGGGCTTTGATCTCAATTAGGGTTTTATTTAGACAAATAAATGTATGTTTAAGACTGACTTAACTACAAAAAATGAGATATAAAAAAAACAGATAGCAGGAACTTTAGAGAACTTTAACTTGTTTTACATGAACCATCCATTGACTAAAATGTATTGGACTTCCAAACTACATATGTTGGATAAGACAATATAAGAGACTGAATGTGATCATTACCTTGGCTCGCTACTATAACTGTACAGCTGTGTGTGTAATTATTACATACCTCCACCAAAACAGCTTTTTGTCATTAGCGGCTTGCTATATTAAAATGTAGCATCACTCCTTTTAGTTACTTCCCATGCTATTCTGGTACCAAAATCCTGAAAATGAAGGAAATGAAATGTTCCACCTAAACATTATGAACCCGTCATAAATAAATGAATAAGAACGGTAAGATTTTTTTTCTAGTCTGAGCATAAAAAGCCTACAGGAATGGGAACAACTTTTGGTTGTGAACATTGTATTATGTTAGTAAAGGTTTCTCAAAAGTTTTTGTTTGTAAATGGGATCTTTAACGTGTGCTTCAAGGCCAGCGTTGTGTCCACCTGTTCAGCAGAGAGTAACGTGTGCCATTGAGCCACAGGTTTGCGTGGGTTGGACAGCATATCCGCCCAGTGACGCAGCTGGTTTCCTGTAGCATCACAGCCCAGATAGATCTTGCCAATCGCATCATTTCTGCTCATTTTGTCATGATCCCACACTGAGATGACCAGCTGGACTTTCTGTATGAGGAATAATGAGTGAAAAAAATTACCTTTCACAAAGTGCCAATAAAAAATATATATATATATATAATGGGGCGAAGTTGATGACGCTGTGATAGTTGTAATGAATCAAACAAAAATGAATCAAGCTGTAAAAACTGAGGGGTTTTCACCAAACTCTCCAAAAAATGTGAGGACGAACATCACAATGGTACAAAGCTTCTAAAAGGACATGAAAATGGAAAATATATGAGATGGGGGAACATTTTCCAAGCTTTTGCGTGTATTGCTCACCTGAATCTGTTCAAACGATACTTCGAAAGTGAACGACTCATTAAAGTATGGATTCAATGTTCGCTTTTTCACTGACGTTTTCCTCTTCTTCCACTTCTTCTTATCCAGAACCAATTGAACTTTCACATAAGGATCTACAGAACAAAAAAAAAACACAACTATCAATCAATTTCTATGCTAAACCTACTCTATAGCTGCTTGAAAGCAATGCTGTGACCATATCTTGAAATATGGTTTAAAGGGGATTTAATGGAATAAAGAGGACATAAGAACAGTGAAAGAAGTTAAACTATTTGTAAATAAAATTTTAATTCAAAATATACACTCATTTACTCTCTTATGAATGTCTAAAATGTCAAAAATTGTTTGTTTCATCACAATCATTTACTGTATGAATAATATGAATCATTTAAATGATTGATATTTGAAGAGTTCAGATGCAAAAGCCTCTAAATGCCATTTGAAATTTTCTTCTTTAATGATGATTTTTATCAAACTTGTATATTTAAGTTCAGTAATTTCACTTAAATAACAATTAATAGGTAATTATCATTGCCATTTAAGTGAAATCACTGAACTTAAATATACAAGCTTGATAAAAATGATCATTCTAGAAGAAAATTTCAAATGGCACTTAGAGGCTTTTGCAGCTGAACTCTTCATTTTCAACTCAAAATGGCGAAATTACATTAAAAAGGTTGAGCAGTTTGCATACTGTGGGCCGTAAATATTAAATGTTTAGCTACTTATATCTTACCATGCACTCTCAGAAAAAAAGGTACAAAAGCTGTCACTGGGGCTGTACCTTTTCAAAAGGTAAACTTTTGTCCATTTTAGGTGCTAATATGTACTTTTCAGGTGCTAATAAGTACATTTTAAGTGTTAATATGCACATTTTAGGTGCTAATATGTCCATTTCATGAGCTAATATGTCCATTTTAGGTGGTAATATGTACATTTTAGGTGTTAATATGTCCATTTCATGAGCTAATATGTCCATTTTAGGTGCTAATATGTACATTTTAGGTGCTAATATGTCCATTTCATGAGCTAATATGTCCATTTTAGGTGTTAATATGTACATTTTAGGTGTTAATATGTCCATTTCATGAGCTAATATGTCCATTTTATGTGTTAATATGTACATTTTAGGTGCTATTATGTCCATTTCATGAGCTAATATGTCCATTTTATGTGTTAATATGTACATTTTAGGTGCTAATAGGCTATGTACTACTAAGGTACCAATATGCAGGCTTTGGGTACAAAAGTGTACCTTTTAAAAAGGTACAGCCCCAGTGACAGCTTTTGTACCTTTTTTTCTGAGAGTGTGCACACAGTTTTTCACTGTAAAAAATAAACTCATCTTCAGTGAACATTAAGCCCCGCCTTCTTGATCTGATCGGCCATAATTTTGACATTGACGAGCGCTGTTAGACCGCTGAGGCAGACCAGCCTAAAAATGTACATTTTTTAACTGTTTGCCATCTTAACAACCAACAGAGCGGTGCATAATGGACAGCAGCATTGAGAAATATCCAAAATATTATGGAGGACAAACTGGCCATTTCCAATTATTTCCGGGGGATTTTTCCCGGGAACACTTTACCGATACCGATATGTTAACCAAAGCAAATGCATTGATAAAACCACATTTGCTGAAGCAACCATTTGCTTCTACAAGACTCATTTAGCACCAGTTGAGCTACCGGACAAATTTACTAAATCAAAAACCCATACATATGATTATGCTGATTATGGGATGCACACCTGAAAATGTATTAGTTGACAAATCATGTACTATGCATGGTAAAAGTGTTTTGAGGTCATAACATAGTTTCATACGGGGAGCCACTCAAAAATGTAGGTAGAGGCATGGTTTTCCTAAGAGTCTGTATGTTTTATATAGTGCTGAGTGATTGCAGACAAGACTTTTTGAGGATGTCTCACCTGAAGAGCCTCCCTGGTCCATCTTCTTCAGGTTCTTGGCTTCCAGTATGATCACAGTGAGTTTACTACTGGTCGGGACATAACGAAGAGAAAAGCAGATCTCTCCCAGATGCTCTTGCTACAGTATACATATATGGGCACAAGTTGAAAGATGCAGTTAGCAGACATGTTATGCTGCTCTTAGCTCTAAACCTATTCACAATCACGTGCATATGGTCAAATCATTGACTTTCAAATCGTAGATTTCCAGGGTGTCCTGACCCAACCAATCATCTAGTCTGGACAAGGGTTGACGCATAAGCCATCACCATTAGGACACTGAACATAAGGTCGCTCCAGGGGGACTTGCTGTAATTTTACATGATGTTCTATGGTGACGTGATGGAAACAAAATCACCCGCTGTAGTCATTGTCAAAAGATTGGATTATTTCAAATAACAATAGAAAGAGAAGGGGCAAAACAACTCTCTGGGACCCCCAACTTGTTTCCCTTTAGTAGAGGATGACACTTTGCCCTTCATATGAATATAACTGATGTGAACTAGCCACAAGAAAAATGACATTGAACTTGACAACATATGTGGATTGAAGTACCTCGTGTTTGGAAGCTTTGCTCAGATCTCTCCACTCCTCGATCACATGATTCCAGTCCACTGTGGACAGATTCAGTCTGATCTCACCGATGATGTCATGTTTGGAGAATTTGTTAAAGTCATAGACTTGCATCACCAATATCGACTCAATCAGCTCCTTCTGAGGGATCTACAATGAAAGTGGTGAAAAGAGCATTATCTAACTAGGCTGTAAATGTAACTTTTTCCCCATAGGCCATTGACGGAAATGTCCGGTGTTTTCACTGTTATATGGTAGGGGGCGCTATGATATTTCTTCTGAAAGAGTAAAATCTCCTGATCAAAACACAGGTGAACAAGTGATAGCATATGTAAGCATGCATATGTAGAAAAACATGATCATCACCATTATACAGCTTATAAATCAAAACTGATTAATGTTACTGAATGAAATGTTGACTTTATGAAACGCTTTACAAAAGTGAAGCTTTGGGGAGGTTGACATCATCCATCTAGCCTATGTTTTTGACCATCATTCTGAATCTGATCTGGATGAAGTTTTATCAGCTTTTTGCTTAAAATGTAGCCTTTTTCATGATTTCAAATCAAATTAAATCAATGAAACAAATTTTTCAATGATTTCAAATTTAGCATATCACATTCAAATGTTGATATAAAAAAAGAGCATGAAGCTAGAGTAAAGAGACTTTTGTTTAAAAGGAGAGGCTCTTTCTTTTGATACATTGCATATTCAGATATTCAAGTAAAAAGTGTCTGGCAACTTTAAAAGAAAAAAAAAAACTGGTTTACAACTACATTTTAATGAGCTTGACCAAGCATCAGGTCATTGTTTGAGCTGATAACAGAATCCTGATAACAGTTTTCCACCATATGACCAATATGATCTTCATGGTTTACCTGATATTTGAAATTTTCATTGAACACGGGGTTAAGGGTTTTCCTGAAGACTTTCGTCTCAAATGTTTTGGACTTGTTGGGAAGGATGTAGATTTTCACATAAGGGTCAGATGTCCCTCCTAAATCCATCGCTTTCAAATCGGCAGCTTCTTTTATTCCAACGGTCAGCTGATGAGAAATATGGTACAGTACATATAGGTTTATGATCTTAAAAACAGTTTTATCTAAATGCTTGTTCTTAAAGTCCACATGAATTCAAACCCCTATTTACTTTGTTAGGGGTTAACAATCAGCCCGGTCTCATCCCAAGGCGTCACAGGTGATGCTTTTGACATTGCGTCTACATCCGAAGCACATGGCACCCTTTAGCTTCAATATGAGACGCAGATATATATGGGCCCAGAAGGCGCCTCCTAGTGGTCTAACCCTAACCCTACCCCAGACCTAAACCTACCCATAACTGTCTGTTGATATCGAAATCGTCTTCCATTGCAATTTTCTGTATATCTAAATATATTTAGATCTTCACAGTGAAGGGCAACACTTCTGAAATCTCTGTGTAAACAATGAGTGACGTACACGCGCAAAACGAATAAAAACGATACAAATACTGTTCGTTTTCTCACACAAACCGCTCGTTTCGTGTCTGAGGCCATCAATGTGTTCTTACATTTACCAGTCATTAAATCATGTTTAATTTGGACTTCTCTGTGCATACTCTTTGAGGTGGTGACCATAGACCTCCATTATATGACAGTATCAAAATTGAAAATACTGTGGAAACAAAGACACCTACATCTTGGATGCCCTTGAGGTAAGATAAAACATATCAAAAAATCATTTCAAAGTGAACTATCCCTTTAATACACAAGATATAATGTATTGCATTTAATTAAAAATCCCTTTGCCATGAGAAAAGACGGACCACGTGTGTTGATTCGCCATTGGATCGATTTAGACGGCCTTACAAGTGTACAACCGATGTGCGCTCAACAGCTGTATAAATTCGCTCAATCGTTTCATTTTCATTCACTCCTTCAAACTGTATTAGTGGACTAATGTAGGGAATAGTGATTGAGGGTTTAGGGGGCATAATCGGGTTCAGCCTAGGTCAAGGGTGTCCAATCCTGCTCCGGAGGTCCACTGTCCTGGAGAGTCCAGCTCCAACCCCAATTAAACACCCAATTAAACCAGTTAATCGAGGTCCTAGACATACTAGAAACTTCCAGGCAGGTGTGTTTAGGTACTTGGAGCTAAACTCTGAGGGACAGTGGCCCTCAGAAACACCCCTGATGAATGAAAGTTAATAAGTTCCTGCCAGTTAAGGTCACCACTGTAAAATCAGGGAAAGTGATGATTTTACCTCTGAAATGGATGCATTGAACTCCAGTGAATACTGCAGTTTTCCCCTCTGTTCGTCGAATCCATACTCCACATCCTCTGTCTCAAGTTGGACCTGTCAGTGAATGCCACCCGGAATTAATTGAGGTTGAATTCTCAAACTTGAAGGAGCTCTCAGATCTGTTTCAGTTAACTCTTTCCATTGAGGGTATTTTTCCGTCATTTATGACACAACTCCATCCCGCCAATACCCGAAATTTCAAGCAATCCATGTTTTGTCTGTGATAAAGTAGGGGGCGCTATTACACATCTTTTGAAAGAGTATAAAGAAAGCATGAAGCTAGTAAAAAAAAAAATCTTCTATTTTTTTTTTGTATATATATATAGCCATTGCATGTTCAGATATTCATACTCAATTCAAAAAATATTCAATTTGGGGGGCAAGAAAGTTTGCTGAAAATGATCAAAAATGCTGGCGGTTGCTGACAACTAAAAAAAAGCATCAGCTTTCATTTTCCACTTAAGGGTGAAGTAATCCCTTTGGCGCTAATGGGAATGCTAACAGATAGCGTTCCAAGGTATTATGCTGCCTTATTATTGACCTTTTGATTAGCATAGCAACAGTGACAGCCAATGGCGCTAGTTTGGAGGCGGGACTATGGTTTATCAACCAATCGCAGAGGATGGGAGTGTTTGAGGAAACCTGTTTAACAACAATTGTATTTTCTCTGCCATCACGCCACAGAAATTACACACCTCACCTTTTAAAATCTCTCAGGAGAAATAAAAACAGACACAAATGATACATTGAAATACTGTAAGATTATAGAGCAATAAAAGTAATGTTAAAAGCATTTGAGAAGAACTATTTAAGTTATCTTTGACTTTAAACAAGTAGAGTTTGTGACATGTTGACATCTCTTCTCTAAGCTTACTTTCCCCAGTCTCCATTTAAACATATTGCTGACTAAAATGATTAAAAAAAAATAAAAATAAAAAAAATGATCCAGCATTACCAGTGCTGCGGTTGTAGATCCCGAGATCCCTTTCATACTGATCTTCTGTTCCAGCTTCTTCTTCCTCTTCTTTTTCCCTTTGCAGCAGCATTTTACACAGCAGCATATCATGCAGATAAGAATGAGCAGGAGGATGGCGGCAAATATAGCATAGATGGCCCATCTTGGCACTGTTGGGACAAAAACAACAATATCCCATCTTTCATCACGGTAGCAAAGCAGCGGTCCAGTATAGCAGCATGAAACACATCAGAAGGATGAGGCCAGGCGATTCGGGGCAAGTTAAACTTGTAGAAAGTGAAAATTGAGACGCAAGAAATGTGCACAAGGCGTGGAATTAGATAGGGGCCCGTGTAGCAGGTGCTGAAAAGAGGATTCATATGATATACTCACAAGGAATCCTGTCCAGTAAAGAAGTCAGGAACCCCGGAGCAGCTGTTGTGGTGTTGGCATGAAGTGTTGTAGTTGGTTTTAATGGCGGTCTTGGTGTCATGGTGAAATTAACAAGACTGGTGTATCACTGGAAATGCACATAGAAAAGAGAGTGGATTGCTGGCAAGAGTTTTTTTTTTTAAAGTTATGTTTTGAGGTAGTAACTTTGTTTTTTGACGCCCCCTACTGGTTAGAATGGTATTGCAACATTTGAGTCATCCTGAAAATAATAAATAATAGTTGACTCAAAATGAAAGGGATTGTTCAGCCAGAAATGGGAATTCGGTCAGTATATCATTCCAAACCCATAGGAAATATCAAATTAAGCATAATCGGAAATGAAAATAAAAGAATAAAATGAAAAATAAAATAAAAACAACAACATAAAAAGAGGCCCTGTCTTTTAAAGCCATATGATAGCTGTCAACATTGTGCTCATATTCTCCTATTGTGTTCCACAAAAAAAAGGAAACTCTATAAGTTTAAATGAATATGAGGATGAGTAAATTATGACAGAATTTTACGTTTGGAGTGAACTATTGCTTTAATCAAATCAAATGAGACGACTTGAAACAAGAGGGAAAATATCCAGTCTAAACACAAATGGTCTGTCTGCGCCGTAAGGTTTTAGTACTAAGCATACTAGTGTGTGTGTGTGTGTGTGTGTGTGTGTGTGTGTATCTACTTAACTATATTTTTGGGGACAAATTTGTACCCAGAAGTGACCAAAAGCTGACAAAGTCTCAGAAAAACCCCACTTTAGGGATGTCCTCATTTGTAAATCTTGTATAAAAATCAAGTAATTAAAGGTTGTTGGTTTTTTAAATGTAAAAATGCAGAAAGTTTTGTGTGATGGGTACAGGGGTATGGTTAGTATAAGTAGAATTGTAAATAGAATATACAGTTTGTACAGTAAAAAAACATTACGTCTATGGAATGTCCCCATTTAAATAGCTAAGCAAATGTGTGTGTGTGTGTGGGGGGGGGGGGGGTTGAATATGTGTGTATAGTAACTCATTCAACTCTCAGTTGCTTGACAAAAATAGTTTAGTCACCACCAAAGTTAAACAACCGCCCATTAAAACTGGGTGTACGTATATGTGATAACATTCTTTTTCAGTGAAACAGTAATAAAAATGAAACAATACTGCATTGAGAATACAATCAAAACACTTGCTGTCATAATTCAACATTTTCACAATCAAGACCGCTGCAATACCACAGCAAAATAATAAAGTATGAGTTTCGAGATTCTTATCATGCCCTCAAAGAAATAAATACCGAAGCAACAAAATACATATCTGAAAATGACATCAACAAAACTAATCATACACACTGAACCACAATATAAAAAAGAGCCTCACAGTGACACTCACTGTTGTAGACTGAGTTCAGTTCGGATCTTGACTTCTCGGTTGTCGTATAAAAGGTAAAGATTAATATTCTGAATGGTATGAACACATTCCTAAACTGAATGAGCGGTCCAGCCACGGAGAGGGGAAGGAAGTCACGGCCCACTGAAGCTGGAGCGGCTCAGGAAAGAGCCATTACAATGAGCACTTTACTAATCAAAAGAAACAACTATGGAGGCTTTAATGAAGCCTGTTTAGTTTAGAATCTCAGTTTAGTCTTCTGCTATTCATACACAATTCAGTATAGTATGATCGGGCCCTTTTTCTTTGAAGAGCAGCTATACTAACTCTTATGACATTTTTAATCTTTTTATGACAGTGATTAAAATATGAACAAGAGAGAGTCAAACTTTATATATTATTTTATATTATATCAAAGTTCCCTCTATTTGGTGAGCCTGTATCACATATGCTCTCATTCACATTACACTTGTCAGTGTCATCCAGTATCATCGTGTGTTATAAGAAATACTCCCAAGATTTGTTCTTGTATTGTTCGCAGAGTTCAATCTGACTTACGTGACAACGTCCGAACACAGACTCAACATATAACAAGAACTAGTTAGACCCAGCTGAGACTTATCAAGCAAATATGATGAAATACACAATAATTGAACTTGCCTTTTTCACCCTCGACTGTCAGTTCCAATTCTCCAGTTCTGTGCTATTAAACAAATTAAGTCATTGTCTTGAGCTGGATGGCAAAAATAGTCGGAAACCGAGGCCAGGCCACTTAGACAGCTCTCCTCGAAGAGATCCTTCACTATGGAGAGAAATGTTAGACTGCACCACACCTCAATAATACACAAAACTGTTTCTGCATATGCCCTAACACAACAAGCTGCGCACCTCATGTGAAGACTGGTGGAGGAAGTCAAATACACATAAAGACAAATAAAACATATTCAAATACAATCTTAAGGAATATCTAAATAGATAAAACAGTTGTATAAGCACTCATATATATAATATATACTGTATAAGACATATGATGATATTGAATAATGCCAGAGATCATTTAAATATCAAGTTGTTTATTTTGCTGCATTGTAAATCATAGAGTCAAGAAACAACTGAAAGATCATGTCACGTACGTGAATGAATCGTGTCCATTACTTTCTTAAGAGTTTTTTGTAAACAAAATATGGCAAGAAATAACTCTTTTATCAGCATATACACCTATATATCCATAAATAAGTATTTCTACCTTCAACAAAGAATATATTAACTCACATTTCATTTCACTAAAAATTACAACTAAAAACATTTCAGCTCCCCATCCCCCCCATAATGGCTGATCCATTTCTTTTCCACTTCTTACAAACAGATTTCCATTCGCCATTCTTGTTTTAAACAATATACAATTACATACAGGCCTTTAGGTCTGCGCTTTAAGCGTTAAAGACAAAATGGACACTTCTCGACTTATAGCATTGGACGTTTCTTTCAAATCCAACACATGAGGTGTGGTTTTATGTCATAAATAATAACACAGCGACAGCTCATTTAGGTTTTGTTTTTTTTTTCAACAAAACTTTGTGGCACTGAAGTCTGTATAAAACGCACAACCTAAATGACTGTTCTCATGGCAACTAGGTTGAAAAATAAATTATACAAACAAATATTTGAATGACACTTTATAATTGTTTTCATGATTTTAACAAGTCTGTAAAAAAAATAAAAAATAAACGACCATCATATAACGTTTAACAGAATTATACTTTTATAAGGCACTATTTGTGCCATTTCATAATCTTCTTAGATATTGAATTGGTCATTCTCAATATCTCATTATTATTTATATATGCTCAATTATATTGTTTTTACTAATTTATTAATACATTTTTTCCACCGTCCACATAATGATCGTTTGCTTGACCGACTTCAGCACAAACGGTCCCCCATACCGGGACCATATACATGAACTGCTGTCTGCGGTTTGTTATTAAAGTGTCATTAATGAAAGCGATTAGCCACATTTGATTGGTTTATTTTCGAACAGCCATGTACTAGAGCATGCAGTAGAGCTTTTGGTTTAATGGGTGACGAAGAGAAAATGACAAAATACACAGGAACACTGTTATAACTGATCACTTTCATATTAAACTGAAACCTCACTTCATTTCTGACCAGCAGTACCTTAACGCATTTTTTCCCTGCAAAAAGCTTTAAAATATTTATTTTCCAAACTACGGTCCTTTTTTGAATTCATCATTAATAATAAAAACATACAAAATGCGATTTGACAGTATTTTACATAATCATATTCCTTTAAAAACCGTATAAATATTAAAACATTTGAACTAGGAGCCATCTGGGTTGGTTCCTCTTGGCATTGGTCTTTCAAACGTCCCGTCAGATTAATCCGATATGCTGAATGCCTGTTTTGTTCAGATATTAGATCCTGTATATAGTGGTTGGACTTGTAGTGCAGCGGGTCACAGTGGGGAGTCAGACATTGGCACCAAAACAATGACCGATAGCTTTGTCTATGTTCTCGTGCCAAAGCTGAAATCACACGTTTAGTCATTTAAGTTCTCATCCATTACAGCGATCAGCCACTCTTCCTCAGCACGTCCATCATAAATGTGAGGAAGGTCACCTCGGCGAAGGCCTCTTGTAGTATCCTCTGTGCCAGTGTAGCAGCGGCAATCCCAAGCATTTCTTGAAGTGCTCCAGTTCGGCCTGCATGCGCTCTCTCTTCAGCGCCAGATTGTGCTTCTGTGCCAACAGCTCCTAAATACGGGGGAAAGAGAGATAAAGTCACGCCCTGGGTCCGGATATGCCTACTTTCAAACTATCCACCTTATTTGTGACCTAAGAGTGGCAAATAGGTGTAGGTTTTTGGAAGCGACATTTAACTTTGTTAAGATGTAGGTTTCTTTGTTTCTGCTGTAATTTAAATTTTTGTATTTTTAGGTCAAACCGTTCTTGTCTGTCAGTCATATAATGGAGGTCTATGGTCACCACCTCAAAGAGCATGCACAGTGAAGTCCAGATTAAACATGATTTAATGACTCGTAAATGTAAAACACACTGATGGCCTGAGACACGAAACGAGCGGTTTGTGTGAGAAAACGAGCGGTATTTATATCGTTTTTACCTCTTGTAATCACAGCCACATCCAAGTGATCTGAGGGCACGGGCGAGGTAAAAACGATATAAATACCGTTCGTTTTCTTACACAAATCGCTCGTTTCGTGTCTTAGGCCATCAATGTGTACTTACATTTACGAGTCATTAAATCATGTTTAATTTGGACTTCTCTGTGCATGCTCTTTGAGGTGGTGACCATAGACCTCCATTATATGACTGACAGAAAAGAACGGTTTGACCTAAAAATATACATGATATACATGGTGTTAACATGATTTTAGTGTGGAAAGATATTTGGTAAGATTTTCTGTGCAAAAATAATAACACATATAAACTAAAATATAAAAAACGATATAATATAGATACCAAAATAATATATTCTTACCCTCATGCTGTGAGAAAGCTGTTCGGCGGTTAGACTGAGGTTGTAATGCTGCGTCTCTAGGCGTCTACACTCGCTCTGGAGAACCTGGTGCTCTATACTTCTCTCTGAGAGACAGACGGGGAAAGAGAAAGACTATAATCATACAAATGTCCAGACAAATCAATGGTGCTCCCACATTTACTGTTGTTTGGCGAATTTAAGACGAAAGACGTTTTTTTAGGAAAACATAACGTAACTTTGAATCTCAATATGATGTAAACTTACCCTCCATGTACTCCTTGTACGCCTCAAATATAGATTCAATGCCTTTCCACCTAGGACTGAAGGACTCCTCTTCCTCGTCTTCATCTGAACTGATGCCCTCGCCAGCTGAAAGGTCATTCCTCACTCCTGGGGAGTTGTGGAGGGCTGATAAATGGCCATTGGTCTGTCCATTAGGGAGTTTGTTGAGCGCCCTCTGGAGGCCTGGAGGTGGATGTGCATGGGGGTCAAACTGCTCGCTCGCTCCAATAGAGAGTTCACCTGTTGGAATACACACGCAAAAAAGATCAAGCAGGCTCTATCATACACCCGGCGCAATAGTTTTCTGCTAGTTTCTTTCAGCCTAAAGCAATTTTCATTTTCATTCCTGTGCGACATTGTTTATGACATTGACATTGGTGATGCCCTGAGAATGGTTTTATTAGCGAAAGCTTGGCATTAAATTTTGCTTTAAGGACTCAAGTGTGCAGACAATTTATTTATTTATTTTTTGGGTTGTCAAGTGGTATCTGTCTGGCACCTTGTTTGCCGTGAGTGCGGTGAAACTCTTTCAAATGTACGACATTGTTTGAAAAGCAAATGCATTTGCGCCCATTTGTGCTCTGGTGTGTTCGGGCAAATTGTTGCTATTTTGAAGAAACTGAAATAGGCTGCGCCATTGACCACCTAAAACCTGGTCTAAAGCCAATAGCGCAATATTTTTATTTTTATTTAAAGAACGTGTTAGTAAAGTGCGCCTATAGACGGGTCCACAACGTTTATTTGCGGTCTGGTCAGTCTTTCCGCTATGTAAATAGCGAATCCGCCATGGCACGAGCACAACTGGCTTTTAAAGGGAATAGAAGATGAGACTGATTGTTTTTTTTTTGCACGTTACGCCCAAAACACACCCATATAACCAGTGTTGGGTAAGTTACTCTAAAAAAGTAATTAATTACTAGTTACTAATTACCTCTTCAACAGTGTAATTAGATTACTGTACTAATTACTCTCTCTAAAAAGTATTTAATCACTTTTAATTAGTAATTACTTTCAAAATCCCATATCAATCTCAACCAGCTGAATAATACAAGGATAGACATGAATCTGTTTTAATTCTTTCAAATAAATACTATAAAATTGCATGAATTATCCCTAAACAGACCAAGGAAGAGAAGGTTACATTATAAAAACATACTTTTTAACATCAGACAATATATTTTGATGTTAAACCCACTATTGTTTTATGTCTGATCTCAAGACATTTCAAACTTTTTTCATACATATTTTACAATAATTCATACGAATTTGTACGAGTGCGGTCATACAATTTAGACGCCTCATAAAATGCATACGAATCACTGTGAGATCGGATTGATCTATACCAGTGTTGGGTGTAACTAATTACTAAGTAATTAGTTACTGTAATTTAATTACTTTTCCCTTGAAAATGTAAAGTAAGGGATTACTCTTCATTTATCTGTAATTTAATTACAGTTACTTTTGTTGTAATTGAGGTAAATAGCTACTGTGTATCGATCAATCCGATCTCACAGTGATTCGTATGCATTTTATGAGGTGTCTAAATGTTACGACCGCACTCGTACAAATTCGTATGAATTATTGTAAATTATGAAAAAAAGTGCAAAATGTAATGAGATCAGACATAAAAAATAGTGGGTTTAACATCAAAATATACTGTCTGATGTTAAAAAGTATGTTTTTATAATCGAACCTTCTCCTTAGTCAGTTTAAGGATAATTCATGCAATTTTATAGTATTTATTTGAAAGAATTAAAACAGATTCATGCCATCCTTGTATTATTCAGCTGGTTGAGATTGATTTTGGATTTTGAAAGTAATTAGTAATTAAAAGTAATTAAATACTTTTTAGAGAGAGTAATTAGTACTGTAATCTAATTACACTGTTGAAGAGGTAATTAGTAACTAGTAATTAATTACTTTTTTAGAGTAACTTACCCAACACTGATCTATACACAGTATTTAGGCTACCTCAATTACATCAGAAGTAACTGTAATTAAATTACAGATAAATGAAGAGTAATCCCTTACTTTACATTTTCAAGGGAAAAGTAATTAAATTACAGTAACTAATTACTTAGTAATTAGTTACACCCAACACTGCAGATAACTCATTAAGAGAATAGGGACAACCCGTTTAGATCATGCCGCGGGCACGCCGACCATTTTTCCCGCCGTTAAACCATAGGCGGAGTTTGACATTCGAGCCAGGGGGGGCAAAAAAAAAAACTTGCTAAATAAACACATATTTATTTTTATCCCAAGAAAAAACAGTAAAACAATACACTGATATTTTATTGCCTTTATGTCATTGTAAACAGCTAGAACTTCGCATTAACAGCCACTTCGCGTCGCATCTTCGTTATAGGATCATGAAATGTGGACCACTTTTGCACTGTTAAAATATTATCTTCAACCTTAAAGTTTTCTTTCCTTTTTTCAAAACACATTCTGGCAATGATAATGATTAAAAAACTAGTTAAATTTCGCATTTATACTTCATGAATCATTGAAAAAATTTTAAGACACGGGATTAGGCTACCTATTGGTTTTGATGAGGGGAAAAAAAAAACTTTACGAGTGCGGATTAGAACCTCGAACCTCCCGAGTCCTGGATCTGGACCATACTGTATACTAGGGGTGGAGCCGAATCCGAATACGGTATTCGGAAAGGCACAAATAATATGTTTTTTACGAATACTTATTCTGAACAAATACTTAAAAAAATATTTGTATTCGGGAACAAGAAATACTTTATATCAAAAGGCTGCGTTCCTCAGACGCGAGTGCGCGAGTTGAGTGAGTGACGTTCAGGAAGAGGTGACTGACACAGGCTGCTCTCCACACAGCAACAGAGAGGGCTCGGCTGAGCGAAAAAACACTTAACTGCATCACTATTTTTGTTTAATAGATGTTTGTACCTTAACTAGGTTCCGGAGGCAGTTTATAACTTTCGGGAAGCGGAGTTTGATCGGGAGTATATTCCATTATTGACGTCTGCAGACGGGTGCTCTCCTGTTCGCTCTGTTTACGTAGCTCTGTTAGCTCGGTAACGGTAATTATTTGTTTCTTATATGGTTTGGTTGAATTCTAATGTAGAATGCGGTCTGTTATTATAACAGGCCGCTGCTTATAAGTATAACACACCGTTGCCATGAAAAACAGAGCGTTGCCATGGATTCTAAACGTAGAGACAGAACGGACTATTTTTCTTTTTTTAGCGGAAGCGATACAATAGTTTTTTAAATCAATAAACTCCTTTTTATATCCATATTTTGAGTCAAATTATTGATTTATTTGGGCTTCGCGTCGGGCTCATAATCAACCTCCTCGCTATACATTATCCCTATAACTTATTCTGTCTGTTCAGCGTCCTCCACCGTGGTGTTGGGGTTCATAATGTTCACAATTTTATTTCATTAGTTGTTGGTTTAACCATGGTTCATGAGGTAATGTCTGACTGTTATTTTTTTTTTCAATGACTTTTCTTGTTACATGTTCATTGCTGGATTTATAGAAAAACATCAACGAATATTGCATATCCATAATTATTATAATGGATATAATTAAAGAATCCATACACTATAAAGTAAATTAAAGATTTTTATGCCTATTTTGAAATTTACTCGAATACAAATACAAATACAAATACTTTCCCCCCCTGAACAAATACAAATACAGATACAAATACCGGCTGCTTTGCACACCCCTACTGTATACACGAAAAAGGGAGTATATATTTTATATACTCACTATACACATGAAAAAAGTGCTATACTCTGACATTGTGCTCATTTTTATTTATGCAATAAAGGCCGTATACTTTATACTCACTATACTCGGACATTGTGCTCATTTTTATTTATGTACATCAGGAGCTGCAGAACATCGTCTTTCAAAACATGACCTACTCGAAAGAGAGAAAAAGAATGAATGCGTACCCAGCACTTGTGAAAATGCCCTTTCGAGTACATCTCTGTCCCCAGCACATTTCAAATTGACGCCCATTTATCGCAGAAAAGCTTCTCTCAGAGTTAGATGACACAATCGACCGAGTGAGCGATAACTTAAAGAGATTGGGGTTGGTAGTTTTTTTACAGCCTTTTTAAGAAAATGCGATTACCCGTTTCAGCCACCGGGGGGGCAACGCTCCCCCTGCCCCCCCGCAAACTCCGCGCCTGCGTTAAACTAGAAAAAGTGGATTCGGACACGCCCTAAGTGCACTTGTGCTTTAGACCATGCACTTAGATCCTTAAAATAGGGCCCATTATCTTAAAAATAAGTAAAGGGAAGCCACTGTCACCTTTCTGTTTCTGCTGGGATATTTGAGTTGACTGCAGCACCGACTGATGGAAGTGCTGTGCGAAGTCCTCTGAGTTTCTTCGCTCCCAGTCCTGCAGTTTTACTCCGTTGAGTTCCTTCGGCCGGAGGGTCTGTCGAGCGCTGGCCTGCAGGCTCGGGCCTCTCCTGCTCGGGGAGCTCGTCTTGGGCTGGAGAGGAGCCAGTGGCGGGGGGTCTTGAGGCAGAGGGTGTTGGGGTGAGTGATTTAGGGGTTCAGGGTGAACATTACTGACGGACTGATTGAGATGTGAGACGGCTGTATGATGGGAAAAGAACAGAACAGGACTTTAATGGCAAAGCTTGATCGATTGGTTATAGCCGTATCTGTATCTGTCGATCTTACCAGACACTGAAGCAGTCGGGCTAGAAAGGGGTGTGTCTGAGGCGTATCTGAGGGTGTTCAAAGTTACAGTTTTCTGTTTGATGGCTTCCAGCAAGTCCTCAATCTTCTTATTCTCTGAGGTAAAAAAGTCAAAAAAAAAACTTTTTGATGCACTAAGCCTTTAAAATATATCTGAAATCAAAAATCATTCTTGTAAAATATCTTCTCTCTCTCCAATTCATTTTAGCAAATCAGTTCAGAGAGTTCATTTCAATTAACAAAAAACAATTAGCATTTTAAAAAATGATTAAAAAAAAAAAAAAAATACTTAAGCTGTGTTCCCAAAATATCCCTGCATGGCATTTAAATAACATTTAAATTAGCAAAATATATTCAGTACAATGCTGAATGTTATACATACATAGTTCCATAAATCAATATAATATATATATATAATACTTTATAATATTTACATAAGGATAAATAGAATAAAAAATAATACACACAAAGTTTGAAATAAATTAGATAATTGAGAAATATACAATAAGGACGGCAATATTTGGAAATATTTTTAACATAAATGTATGTAAATATCTTTTAAAGTGAAAAACTTTTAATAAGTTTTTCCTGTGGTGGCAAAATGGTATCTATCTATCTATCTATCTATCTATCTATCTATCTATCTATCTATCTATCTATCTATCTATCTATCTATCTATCTATCTATCTATCTATCCATCCATCCATCCATCCATCCATCCATCTATCTATCTCTCCATCTCTCCATCTATCCATCTATCCATCTATCTGTATGTACAGTATAAAAATGTAGTTTGCATCTTTTATGATTTGTCGGTGTGTGTCCTGCACGTACTTCTTCTCTCGTCCACACTGACATGGTTCAGGTGGAACATGCTGAGGAAGTGTTTCTTGTCGTCGAGTTCAGCGGTGCGATCCATCTCCTCCGGGGTGAAGCGTGTGGTGAGGGGAGGAGAGGGAGTCTTTCGTTTACTCTGCACCGCTGAGGGTGAAGGCATTCTCTCCTGCATCATCCTCCTCCTCTTCCTCCTCTTCATCTCCAGGAGCTCATCTCGCTTAGAGAGAGTCGTCAGTCCAAACAAACCCAGGAACTCTGTCTTCTGCAGAGAGAAAACAAACAGACTGTCACAAGCTATGTTTCCATACACCTATATGTACTGCATGCGCATTTCGGGATATCGCATTAACAAAAACGCTGGATGGAAACGCCAAGATGCACATTGATTCTAAAAATGAGCATAAAAAAATGGATGCGCTCATTTGAGTCAAGTGATAAGAAGACATGGGCGTAAACTACAACGGAAACACATTTACTGAATAAATCTCTCGATGCACAACAGAAAACTCACGTGACTCAAAAGAGATGGTGATTGGACAACTGGACTAGCAGGCGGGCCAATCGTATCGCATAAAATTTCGAATGTTGGTTTGGTTGTTCTGAAATGCCTGAGCCAAAGTCTGTCATCAGAATGATTTCTCCCGGAAGTGTCTCTCACATTCCCAGACTGTATGTCTGTATGTCTGTATGCTCTGAGACGTAATTTATGATGTCCAAAAGAAAAAAAAGAGCCAGATAAAAAATTTTCACAAATTTTTTGCACCAATTTCACAGGAAATGACAATTTTGAGATGAAAATGTTGCTTTATTCACAAATGATTCATGATATTTTCCAATTTTGAGCACACGTTAGGCAACTTTGGATGGAAACAGCTATTGTGAGAGATTTGATCAGTTTTAATAGTACAAATACGTTTCTGTGTTGGTGTTCCTAGCATGAATGCCAGTGTGGTTGCAGTATTTTTCTCGAGGTAGCTTATAGATTGTAGTTGTTGATTTAGTTTAGTGACACTGAGATGTTTGGTCGCGCTGCTGAAATGTGTGACTGTACCTCAGTAGATGCATCTAGTTTGAGAGGAGGCTGCTGAGCGACTCTCCTCAGATGAACTCGCACTTCCTCCTCATCACTCTCATCGTAAGAGTCGTCGAATTCATAGTAATAACCTGAAACAGGCAGAAGATTAGAACAGAAGTGAAAGAGACACTATATGGATGGAAGAAGAACCTGACAGACAGAGAGAGATAGATAGATAGATAGATAGATAGATAGATAGATAGATAGATAGATAGATAGATAGATAGATAGATAGATAGATAGATAGATAGATAGATAGATAGATAGATAGATAGACAGGCACACAGAGATAGATAGATAGATAGATAGATAGATAGATAGATAGATAGATAGATAGATAGATAGATAGATAGATAGATAGATAGGCACACAGAGATAGATAGATAGATAGATAGATAGATAGGCACACAGAGATAGATAGATAGATAGATAGATAGATAGATAGATAGATAGATAGATAGATAGATAGATAGGCACACAGAGATAGATAGATAGATAGATAGATAGATAGATAGATAGATAGATAGGCACACAGAGATAGATAGATAGATAGATAGATAGATAGATAGATAGATAGATAGATAGATAGATAGATAGATAGATAGGCACACAGAGATAGATAGATAGATAGATAGATATTTTCTGATATTTTGAAATTTTCTGCACTTCCTACCTTTCTCTCTGGCTTCCCTGCGTTTCTTCTCCTCCAGGTCTAGTTTGCTGAGGAGCCTCCTGTGCTCCTGCAGAGCCTGATCGAACACCATCATGGGGTCCGTCCTCTCTGGAGCCGGAGCCGGAGCCCCAGACTGGCTGAAGACCCTCCGCGGGGATTTCTCCAGATCCGGCAGGTATTTCCCAGACTCCGGGAGGCTGTTCCCCCGCATGGAAGAGGGCCTGATGTCCTCTTCCAGAGCTTTCGGTCTGGTGTGGCCTGAGAAAGGATGGATGTGGGGCAGAGGCCGGTCTGAGGGCGAGTTGAGGAGGGAGACGGGGTTCCAGAGACTGCTGGGAGTGGATGAGGAGGGGTGATGGTCCCGAGGAACAGCTTTAGGGGTGATGAGAGGAGGTGGCGCCCCCAAGGGTTGAGATAAGTCTCTGACACTCACATCATTACGGTGTGAGCTGTACCTGAAACAGGAGAAAACATTTCTAGAGTGCGCCAGAAGAGGGCAGTGTGATAACATACACCGCCTGCAGTGTTTTATAGGAGATCCCCTTCATCTGTGACCCACCTGTGTCTCTCTCTCTGTGGTTCCACTGGTTCTGCGCTCCGACCACTATCCTGGTGCTTCTCCTGCTGGTGAAACTCCGCTTTCTCCACCTTCAGCGCTGCTCTCTGTCTGGCAAGCCATCGGTCGTCCTCCTCCTGCCACTGGAGCATCATGGGAGTCCCCATGGGCCGGTGGCTTTTCCCAAACTGGAGGCTTGAGGAGAGGCCGAGGCCTGAGGTGGAGAGCGAGGAAGGACCTCCTGAGGACGAGTACGGGCCAGACTGTGGCGCGAGCAGCGACGCTTCTTTGGTTTTGTCTGTATTGAGAGACCAGAGATGCGTAGATGAATTAAACATGTTCTTTTCAAAGTGAAGCAACTGTAAATATTTCATTAATATCTACTAAATATACTAGAAGGACCAAAAATGGGAACGTCATCCAATTTATAGTAATAGCAAGGAACAGCTTTTGTCTTCAGAAACAATCTTATTTTGAATATTTGATTTGAGCTTTTTATTTGTATTTTGTTGTATTTGTATTATTTGTTATTTTATTTCTATTTATCTTTAATTATATTTTTATTTAATTATTTTAACTCATTTTAGTAATTTAGCTTAAACTCCTTTATTTCAGTTTGCTTCCTTGGCAACTAACAACTTATTTTTCATTTTAAAAATATTTGTATTTATCTTCATTTTATATTTTTAATATATTGTTTTTAGTCATTTTAGTACTTAAAATGTTTCTAATTTCCATTTCATTTTTTGTTTCTTTTTTAAAAATATTTGTGTTTAGCTTTACAACTACTAAAATAAAAAAATTAATTAAAGCTAAATAGAAATATTTGTAAAATAAAAACATTTTTGTTAATTAAAATAAGGCAAGTTGGCATACTATAATTACTCACACTAAACCTGAAATAAAAATAAATTAATTTTAGTACTTCAACTTAAGCTTATTTGATTCAGTTAGGCAACTAACAACTTATTTTATTTTTAAGGTTGGTCAACTTTTTGTTATTTGTATTAGTTTTAAAATATTTCTATTTAGCTTACATTTATTTTATTTCAGTTTTAGTCATGTTAGTACTTCATCTTATTTCAGTTAGCTGCCAACATTTCTAATTTCCATTTTAAGTTTTTTAATTTTTAGTTTCTTTTTAAAAATATGTCTTTACTAAAACATAAACTGAAATAAAAATAAATAAAATAAATAAAATAATAAAATAAGTTGTAAATATTAAAATTGGAAATAAAAAAAACTGAAAGTACTAAAATTGCTATAATTAAAACTGGTTGAACTATTAAAATAAGTTCTCGTTCACGTCTTATTGTGCTTAAACTGTCAAAAACACACAACGTTCACATAAACACAGTCGGTTATGTCTGTGAACGTAAACAGCGGGGAAAGAAATCACATGTTTATTAGATCTGTGTATTAAAGTGAAAGCAGCGTGATATACAGTACCTACATGCTATATATACTGTTAAAATGAATCAAACAACTAAAGAAACAGAAAATCACTCACTCAAATCATTCACTAATAAGAATAAAATTTCTTATTAAAACTTGAACGCTGCTGTTAATTGCTCTGGTGAGTGGATAAACATGGCGGACTGAGTTTATGCTAATAGGCCAGAGTCAGTCAGCATTTGTGAAAGTGCAAACGGCTTATTCCGAGACGCTACTTATGATTTATGGGGAGGTGGATTTTTTATCATTATTGGGTGGGTTGTGTGCACACTTCCGTCACACATTTATGTTCAAACACCATGTAAAAGTGAATTTAGCATAAAAGTTAAAATTTGTTAAAGGGATAGTAAGGGATAGCAGTAGAGTTTCTTGATTATTACGCAGGAATGAGAGTATAGTTCCTAGTCATATCAGCCTAGAAAATCACAACATCTATATTAGGAGAAATATCGAAACTCTTTGATAATTTTTTTGGGGAGAAATGCTATTGGTCTTGTTCACTTCAATGATGTATGCTAAGCTATGCTAAAAGTGGTACCGCCAGAACCGGAGATCGGCTGAATGGATTCAAAAGCGGTAAAGGTCAACAGTTTGACTCTGGGGGAGTTGTAAAATGAGCCCATTTCCCCAAAAAAGTGGCGTATCCCTTTAATAGTGTGTTGTTGGATCAGGGCTGTACCCGTTCTGTTAGCAGCGAGTCTGTCCTCGAGCTTGGCTCTTTCCTTCATGTGCTGCCGGTGTGCGTACGGATGAGAGATCAAGTGTTGGTTCGCCAGCGGCTCGTGGCTCAGGTGGCGTTTCTCCATGGCCTTGACCGCCTGGATCTCTCTCCCTCTCTCCTTCTTTATCTCCACCTCTCGTTCCTTCTCTCGTTCTCTGTCCTTCTCTCTCCGCACCTCCTGTTCCCAATGCCTTTCTCGTTCGATTTCACGCGCTCTCTCTTTCTCTCGTTCTCGTTCCCTCTCCTGCTGGCGAAGTTCCTCTTCCATCTGCAGCCTGTGGAGGGTCGAAACACACACACACACACAAATGGTGTGAGATGCAACACTCTCAACAGGAACAAGAAGAATAGAGTCCGCAGGAACACAGGAGAGTGTTGATGATGTTTGGAGAAGATGGCGAAAGCGTGTGTGTGTGTGTGTCAAGGTGACATGTGAGTGTGATATATATGGGAGAATGTCTTATGCTGATGACGGAAAGATCGTGTGTTTACACGCAAACACCTGCAAAAGAGTTTAACGTTATGCAAATGAGCATCTCTGTGACATGGCAATTGCCAATGGGAGTGCGTTCACCTGATTTGCATATATAATAGAGCATATATAACTATGTTTATATATCAAATATTTATTTTATTCATTTAATATTATAATAAATAATATTTCAATACATAGCTCGCCCCGTAACCATTATAATTATTAATTCCATCTTGTATATTACATGTAATCAAATTTAAATGATCTATATAATTATCAAAATTAATCAATTTGAAAATAAATAAAAAAAGCTATAAATATAGAATAAAATATATTATTTTTATTAGAAGGTAGTGCCATATTTAAAACCGCCAATTAGATTTAGTGAGAGAGTGGAAAAAGGTATTATGTATTATGCAGTAAACATACCCATGAATGTATTCAAAATGTTAAAATATTAAATAATTATATGTAATTAGTTTCATTTAATTAATCTACGTGGATAATTTTTTTTTTATCGGGTATTGTTTAACATTCATGTATAAGGTTTTGATCCACTTCAAATGTTGACTACTGTAAATATAATATATAATAAGAAAATAACATTTTATTAATATAAAATAAAATTAAATATATAATTTAACATTTTAATGTTATTTATTTTGTTATGTTATTTTAATTAGGTATTGCATCAAATATAAACAAATTCATATTACATCAATTTTTTTTATTTAATAAAGAGATGCATAAAAGGTTAATAAAATGACCAACAAAACAAAGTCTGAATGAAATCCGGAGAAATTACAAAAAAACAGGGATTTCACTACAACGCCAATTGCCTTGCAACCACTTTAATTATAAATTCAATCTTGGACATCCATTGTATGTGATGTGTGCGTCAGTGGTGTGTGTGTGTGTGTGTGTGTGTGTACCTCTCAGAGTGCAGTGCTGACAGGGACTGGTGTGTGAGGTCAGGAGGGTAAAAGACGCCCTGCATGGGCAGGTGGACAGCAGACGGGTGCAGGGTCGGCAGGGCGCCCCCCTCTGGAAGCGGGTAGTAATGCGAGCGCAGGGCCGGCAGACTGTAGAAGTCCTTTATCCTGATCACACACACACATAGAGCAGAGAATTACAGCCTCTAGAAATAACCCGCTTCTTCATTAACCTCTGTTCTCTGGCCCTCCGACATCAACATCACTGCCTATTTCTGTCTCACCTCCCGCAAAGAGATGTGCTGATGGGCTTATTTATAACGGAGGACAAAAAGATCTAATCTAGCGACGTCAGAACCATGAGAACATTAACAAATCATTGCCTAATTTTACATATCAATGTCTATTTAGTATTTAGCGTTCAGATTTACACCAAAAATTATCAACTTAATAGGTTTAGTGGAAAATGGTAACATGTATATATACAATTTATATATATATATATATATATATATATATATATATATACACACAATATATATACAATATATATATATAGATATTTATATATATTACTTATTATATCAAATAAAAGTTGCAAAAACAGCCTCTTTAATTGGTGTAAAATTATCATATATATGTAGTATAAATATATGCATAACAATTATGGTAACTAATTAAATATTGAATAATTATATGCAATTCATTTCATTAAATGGTTATACAAAATGATATACAATTATTAAAATACATCATAAAATGTAATTAGTGAAAATGTGTGTGATGTAGAATAAATATATACATTTATTTTAGTTAATAAAAGGTATCAAAAAAATAGACTATTTAATTCTTAGGTTTAGTGACAAGGGTTGAAAATAGTATATATTATACAGTATAGATATATTAGTGTAATTAAGTATAATATTAAAACAAATTCAATAATGAATAATCACAAAATGAATCATAATTTAATAAAAGATAATACATAATAAAACTGTATAATGAATATAATATATTTATCATATTTATATTGATGTTTACATTACAATACTATTTTAATAAATGTTTATTATTTATTATTATTATTATTATAGGGAAATATTACAGTTTTAAGGTATTTTTTTGGTAAAGGACTGAACATACAAAAAGAACAGACCAATATTTTTCACCATTCAGCATCAGCAAACGATAAAAATAAATAAATAAAATAAAACGACTGGTAACCAAACATTTGAATCATCTATCACTAACTATCAGAGGACAAATACAAATATAGTTTCATTAAAAATATTGTAATTTGTGTTTTGAAGATGAACAAAAGTCTTACGGGTTTGGAACGACATAAGGGCGAGTAAATGAATTGAACTATCCCTTTAAGACCAATTTAAAAAAAAAAAAAAACGTGCTCAACATGTTTTTAGGTTTTTCGAAGGTCTAATACAGGAAGGTACTATATATTCAAAAGAACCACCAGAACTACACCACACACCTGTATGAAGCAAGCGAGGGATGGGGCAAATATCCTGAGTGAAAGTACGCGAGAGTGTCGGGTGTGGTTCCTGAGCTGAGCCCTAGAGGGAGCAAAGGCATGCGCAACTCTTCAGCGGAGGCGTACGGGCGAAAGCCATCGCGGAGATACTCCTCCTGCGGAGCTCCTGCTAGCAGCATGTTAGGAACCTGCCGGGACAGGCTGAGAGAGGAAGAGAACAGCAAATGAGGAAAAAACACTATATATATATAAACGCTGTGAGATGAGCCGGCGTGTGAGAACGCGTGAGGTACTGACTGAGCTTGAAGACGAGGGTCTTGAATGAGAGCACTGGGTGTCATGCTGAACGGGTGAGCTGGACCCAGGTATGGAGGGAGAGAGAGGGAGCTCTTCTCCTGGCCGGGTAAAGGACGATCTGGAGCCAAACGCTCCTGGCCGGACACTCTCAATGATGCATCGGCCTAAATGGGGGAAAACATTCATGGTTAGGGCATCGTGGGAATGTTTTTGCCGCTATAATAATACCACTGAACACAAAAATTTGTTTATATCATATATTGTTATGTCATATTACGTTAATTATATCATTTTATGCATATTTATGCTTCATAATGTAAAGGTATATATGACCATTTACCACCCTCTCACTGAACATAAGAATGAAATAGGCTGGTTTTGCTGCTGCTATACATTTTATTAAATATATAATTCCCTATGGTGAGTAAGTGAGCGAGTGAGAGCGAGAGAGAGAGTGAGCGAGTCAGAGAAAAAGAGAGAGTGTGAGTGAGTGAGAGTGAGTGAGTGTGAGAGAGTGAGTGAGAGAGAGAGAGTGTAAGTGAATGAGTGAGTACTGTTCACTCAGAGTAAGTGAGAGTGAGTGAGTGTGTGTGAGTGAGTGGTAAGTGAGTGAGAGAATATGCGAGTGAAGTGAGTGAGTGAGTGAGTGAGAGCGAGAATAAGTGAGCGAACGAGTGAGTAGTAAGTTGGTGGGTGAGTAAGTGAGTGAGTGAGTGAACGAGTGAGTGGTAAATTGGTGGGTGAGTGAGTGAACGAGTGAGTAGTAAGTTGGTGGGTGAGTGAGTGAGTGAGTGAGTGAACGAGAGAGTAAGTAGTAAGTTGGTAGGTGAGTGAGTGAGTGAGTGGTAATTTGGTGGGTGAGTGAGTGAGTGAGTGAGTGAATGAGTGAGTAGTAAGTTGGTGAGTGAGTGAGTGAACGAGTGAGTAGTAAGTTGGTGGGTGAGTGAGTGAGTGAGTGAACGAGTGAGTAGTAAGTTGGTGAGTGAGTGAGTGAGTGAGTGAGTAGTAAGTTGGTGGGTGAGTGAGTGAACGAGTGAGTAGTAAGTTGGTTGGTGAGTGAGTGAGTGAGTGAATGAGTGAGTAGTAAGTTGGTGGGTGAGTGAGTGAGTGAGTGAACGAGTGAGTAGTAAGTTGGTGGGTGAGTGAGTGAACGAGTGAGTAGTAAGTTGCTGGGTGAGTGAGTGAGTGAGTGAGTGAGTGAGTGAGTGAGTAGTAAGTTGGTGGGTGAGTGAGTGAGTGAGTGAGAGAACGAGTGAGTAGTAAGTTGGTGGGTGAGTGAGTGAGTGAGTAGTAAGTTGGTGGGTGAATGAGTGAACGAGTCAGTAGTAAATTGGTGAGTGAGTGAGTGAGTGAGTGCCGTATCGTCTTTGAAAAGAGATTAAACTGAAGTCTGTGCTCTAAAGCATTAAAGATTTACCACAGTTTAGGTTGGAAATTAGATTTTCAGGTCTACGCTCAAAAAGTGACTAAATGGATTATAAATAAAGCGTAAATATAAGTTTAGTATAAAAGAATCCACTAAAAAAACTCATTTTTAAATTAAAAAAACATATATTTAAACTAAAATATAATACATTCATTTCAATGACAAATACCGGTCATTTTTGACCGACGCATGAAGAGCACCAGAGGGTTAAATAAATCATCCAAGGTGATTTACTAAGGTTTGCGCTAGTTCATTTACTGGTATTTGCACCATTATTTACCACTGAAAAAAAAATCATTTCTTAAACCAGACGCTAATTTGCACTTCTCATTATTAAAATAATACGGCTGCGTCCGTGTTCTTTTATTTGTGCGTCCCGGGAAGATCACACGCAGAAATTTACACTCCCATTAAATCTTTTTATGGGATTGAGCTCTCACACTAATTTGCCCTGTTTAGTCAATCTGACTCAATTCAGTTTCAAATAGGTGCCAAATATAGAGTATAGATGAAACAGCAAGCGTGTGTGTGTGGTCGAGAGACAAGCATGGCTTAAAGCATTGGTCCCTCCATCCTCTCTCTCTCTCTCTCTCCCTCCAGGCAGAGCTACAGAAGACTCTTTGTGTAAACAGAGAGAGGGTAGTTTGATCAGGGGAAAGTGTCTATTGTCTCTCCTGATGTCCCCTGACTGCAGTGCTAAATAAACTCAAAGCCACACAGAACGAGAGCTGAACAAACCATCCATCCGAATCCACACACACACACACATTCTGGCATGATCTTGCGGTCGCGCCTGAGAGTCACCGAAATAATAGACATGCAGGACACCCACAGATCAACCCATTTGCACTAATCCAGCCCAATTTAAACCCTGCGACCCCATCAGGACCTCAGTCCCTCTTCAGAGCAAGACCTGCGGTCAAGCCCTCCTGACCACACACACATAATACCAGCCCTGAGGACCGAGAGGCCTGGAGAGATGTTTCGCTTTGTATTGATTGGCAAAGATGAAGGAAAAGGGAAAGAAAAGTCTCAGTCGTGACCATACGGTTTTCATTTTCGCAAACCAAATGAATGACCTCACACATGGCGGACTAGTCGCAACTCTTTTGTGCTCATGTCAGACAACAGTTTATTTGAAAGGAAATAAAAAAATAAGCGAATAAAGCACAAAACTTAAATTCCAAGATTTTAGGACACCTGAACATCTCGGAAGATTTAAATATGCATGACTGACTTTTTTCGTTCAAATAAAACGGACTTGCTCTTTCTCTTTGCACTTGTAACGACGTAAAATCAAATAATGCACAATAACTGTTTGTTTTGTCAACTTTTAGGAACACACTAGCATATATAAAGCTCACAGACATGATTTCATTTTATCTTTCATACCTGACGGGCTTCAGACCTCCAAAACCCATTGACTGTTTTAGTTGGGGCGATGGTGACCACAGGCGGGGTGCCTGTAGGCGGGACCAGGCTGGTACCCATGGCAACTCGCTTAGGCGTACTGACAGGAGAAATGTGATTGGTCACCGGGGAGGAAACATGCGATGACTCGCTACTTATAGAACCTGAAAAAGAAAAGACGGGATGAATTTTGAATTTTGTACAAATTTAGTTTTCAATTGTAGTCTTTTAAGAAGGCATCTGAAATGATAAACTAAGTGCAATGTAGTGTTGTCAAAAACATCGATTTTTCGATACATGGATATTGAAAAATCGGAACCACTTCCAATACTGATTGATTTTTATTTATATATATATATATATATATATGTATATATATATTAGGGCTGTCAAACGATTAATCGCAATTAATCGCATCCAAAATAAAAGTCTGTGTTTACATAATATATATGCGTGTAGTGTGTATAATTATTTTATATTTATTTTTTATATTTAAGAAATATTTTCATGTGTATACTGTATATATAATTATATATAATTTATATTATATATATATAAATATTTTATATATAAATAATTTTTTTTTCTTAAATATGCATGCATGTGTGTGTATTTATGTATACAAAATAATTATACACAGTGCACCCACATATATTATGTAAACACAGACTTTTATTTTGGATGCGATTAATCGCGATTAATCGTTTGACAGCCCTAATATATATACATATGCATATACATACATATATACACATATAACACACATATATACATACTATATACATACATACATACTCATGACCACACATTATATTGATACATTATCGAATATAATTAATTTAATAAATAAATTAGATTTAACAATCCTTAATCTTCCACAGCTCAACGAGCCGTTAGTACATGTGGTAAATATTAATGTTTCTGACTTACAAACGTACGTTTCTGACAAATAACAGCGATGTTCTGCGTCCTCTGAGAGGGACGTATAATAACATCAGAGCCAACAACAGACTATCCAGACTAGTAGAAGAGGCAAAGAAGGGGGGATGTATTTGTACGTGTGTGGATGCCAGACAGAACTAACAACTTGTCAGATGAAGTGAACATACATCATCACGTCCCTGACTGCCAACCTCGCCGCTATCAAAGCCCCGTTGGCCTGTCAGATCAGATGCCAGTTTAAAGAGATAAAGAAACAAACACTGCCATCTCCCTGCGGTAAACACACATGAACACACACTCATTCCTCCAAACCCCCATACAGCGCTTTACTGTGATCAAAGACCATTTGAGAGTGTGTGTGTGTGTGTAATATGCACACATGCATATCTGCGTTGTCTAAGACACTCTAAAATCTAAAACAAAGACATTCTTTGTGTCTCACAACAAGAGAAACTTTACATATAACGTTTCTAAGTCACATTTGATAAAAGCAGCTGCTAAATGAATAAATGTATACAAATATTCAATACACAGCGCTCTGGTATACAGTGTTTAATTCTAATTGGTCAATATCAGCACCGAACAATCAAATATGTTTGTATAATATCGGCTTAATAGTATTTAGTCCATAGTGATTAAACGGCTTTAATTTTTCTCATATCATTCTACAGTCTCTCTATATCAAATCAAATTATATAATTAATTGCTACTAATCTACTGCAGTAAAAACAGCCCTGGAGGACTTTGGTATTTATTTTATGATTATGAACTTTAGCGATTAAACAAAAATGTCACTTGAAACAACAAGACATAATTAAAGACCTGGAGGAGAGAGGAAGACATAAATATGAGAGCTTGATCACTGTAAAAAAATAAAAATAATAATAATAATTAAAAAAAAGTTTTTCAATCAACTTGGATGTTTAAGTAATTTCAACTTAAATTACATTAAATTAAAAAAAGTTAAATCAATGTAAAAATGTGTTGTCATAACTTACTGATCATAACTTTTTTCATTGCAGATTAAAAATGTATATAATGCATAGATGAATCTTTTAATATTGTAACAGTGTTCTAGTTGCTGGGCAGATTACTCCCTGCATCGCAATCCTGGTTAAATTGGGATTTTAAAAGTGATTAAATCATTAGTTCACATCCATGTATTTATCTATTAGCCAATGGCAACTACAGCAGTGTAATAAGCAGTATAATGTACAGCGAGATACGAGATCTAGTCATCCTTGCGATAATGAACGTCTGACTGTACATGATCCCCTCCATAATATGCACTTCTCGTTGTTTCGATTGCAGCGAGTGTGTGTGAGAAATGACTTTTCCTCATTAAGACAGAAGGCTTGAAAACCACACAAGCACAGAAAAAAAAACCTATTGCCGCTAAAAGCAGTATCTATATAAGACACCCAACACAAAGAGTAAAGTAGGTCAGCCCTCCTCGGAGCGCTTGTGTCTGCCGGAGAGCTGATAAGAAGTCAATACTCCGGGTTTTGTACTTCTTCACTCCTTTTGTGTTCAATTTTGCTTTACTCTTTAACATACCTGCTAGATTTCTACCTAGAAATCCCTGACAACTAAATGGTTTATACAAAGGGAAGTGCCGCTACTATTGCCAAAAACGTATGGTTAGGGGATTTTATAAGAGAAATAAACTCGTCCTGCACTGTTTATGCTATGGACATATATGATAACTCACATTGTGGACTTCTTGTAGTTCAAATCTACATTTTTTGCTTTGTAAACGATAATACGGGTGGAAAAATACCCAAAACTTACGTTGAAAGTGTGACTAGTGACTAATTGTCTTGTATGTGCACATGTAGTGTATAGTATTTTTCACAACTTTTCCTAGCAGAAAATATAATATTGATGAAATAAAAGACCATTTAAGTATTAAAGTACAGTTTCTTTACACACTTACTTTAAGTACACTTAAACGTTTGAATTTTAAATAATTGTTTTAGTCATTTAGAAGTATCGATTTGACTTATTTCGATGTAATACTAAAGCACATTAAAAAATTAAGCCTTTTTTTAATTTACGCAATTTGATAAACAGTCAAATTCCATCAAATGAAACGGAATAATTGATTAAGGATTATTCAATGATTCAATTAAACTACTTAATTTGATGGAACTTTGCTATATCAAATTGTGTAAATTAAAAAAAAAAGATTAATTTTTTGAGTGTGTAAAGTACATGATTAATTTAACTGTTATTCAAGATTACATTTAAAGTTAATGTATTTTATAAAATACAAATATATTTAAGTGCATGGCACATAAGTTTCAATAAAAAATACATTTTAGTTTACCATAAATTCTTGTCAAAACATTCAACATAAGCCTTTAACCATATTTCAATAGAGGTAATTAAGAAATTGCACATTCAGATGTACTTAGGATCTCCTTAAATGGGTCAAAGAGGCAATAAGTTCAACTGCATTTAAAATAAATGTAAACTACAATGCATTTTATTTAATTATACATAACATGCAATAACACATTCAATTCACATTTTGCACTTAGGTATATTGGTATATAGATATATTTTTTTATAATAAGTACTCTTTTTTAAAAGTTTTAACTTATCTAGTTTTACTTTACTCTTTTATACATTTACTATATCTGAACGCTCTGGCAATATTTTAATTGTTTACAGTCATGCTATCAGTCAAACCCTTGAGGAAACAGAGAAAGTGAGAAAAAGAAAGTGAGAGAAAGTAAGTTGAGAAAATACATGTATTTGGGTTGGTGGTGGGGGGGGGGGGGGTCAGTTATGTACTACTACAAGCATCAACAAGAACACATTCACAAAAGCATGTGTGCATATGGAGAAGCACACACACACACACACACACACACCAAAAGCCCCAAAGCCACCAAAGCCTTAAACAAAAGACAGCTTTTCCAAACAGGCTTAGCAATCTGAGACAGAGCATTGACTGTCATTGAATTACCCTAGTCAAAGAGTGTATGAATGCATAAAGTGGTGAGCAAAGGCAGAGCAGTATGCACAGTGTGATAAACTCACAGAGACAGCAGTAAAAAGACACTTAGAGAAGGTCTATAGAAATCACTGGCATACAAGCTCTTAACCAATCAATATAATCCCTTTCTTTCTGTCTCGTAGCCTTAGAGAGAAGAATATCATGATCACTCACAATGGATCATGTCGATAAACACATGGCCAAACCACGTATTCTTGAGAAAGCTTTAGACAGTGTTAGATCATTTAGGATGCTTGTTGAACAGCTTGTTTTTCTTCACAGCATAATGCAATTTAATAGCTACTTTCACTTTCAACCCATGTTTGTTTTTTGTTTTTTTGTTTAATTTAAGTTGAAAAAATTGACAGCAACAATTTTGTAGATCTTACACGCCACGCCAAGACAACAGTAGAAAACACTGTCTGAGAACTTGATATTGTATGTAATAAGCATTATCAGACTTTTTGTGTGAGAGTGTGTGTGTGTGTGTTTTTATTTTGGCGTTGACTACAACAATTACACAGACAGATGGGCAGCTGAATGTTGTGCCAGCCATCTGAAATGCTGCAAACCCATATGCAAATATTATTCAAATCTATTCACAATTTGTTGACAGAAAGCACCACCCACACTCATACACACGCTGAGCGAAGAATGGATGTCCATATTACACGCATACATATGGTGGTGTGCTTGTTTACATTCTGCATTAAACGACTTAATGCAACTACGCAAGTGGTAATTACACAACAATGCATAATATAGAAGTGTCCATGTAAGTGGTGGATAATGTTGTTAAAAAAAAACTAACAAAACAAAACAATCAAAACAAAGCAAAACACACAAAACAATACAAAACAAAAAGCAAAACAACAAACAAAACAAAGCTAAACAAAAAGCAAAACAAAACAAAAAATAGCAAAACAAACCAAACAAAACAGAAAAACAAAAAGCATAACAAAACAAAAAGCAAAACAAAACAGCAAAAAAGAAAACAAAACATAGCAAAACAAAACGTAGCAAAACAAAAAGCAAAACAACAAACAAAACAAAACATAGCAAAATCAAAAAGCAAAACAAGCAAAAAAAAAACATAGCAAAACAAACAAAACCAAACATAGAAAAACAAAAAAGCAAAAGAAAACAAAACAAAAAGCAAAAAAAATAGCAAAAAAAGAAAAATAAACAAAACAAAACATAGCAAAACAAAAAGAAACACAAATGAAAACAAAACAAATCAGACAAACCAATCAAAATAGACACAACAAATATAAATAAACGCAGTCACAAAACAAATCAGACAAACAAAACAATGTAAAAAACAAAATGTAAACAAAAGAAAATGAAAACAAATTACAAAACAAATCATACAAACAAAACAAGACAAAACAGAAATAAACAAACTAAATGAAAACATGGTCACAAAAAAAATCAGAAAACAAAACAAATTACAAAAAAACAAAAAAAAAACAAAGCTCAAATAAATGAAAGCAAAATCAAAGCAAATCAGGAAAAAAAAACAAATATCTGCCACGATTCCTCTCTAAATAAACAAAAACTGCTCATGCTTTTAAAAAGACCTACTTTATAGAAACAGCCAAGTTAAGCTCTGCTGAGGGACTACAGGGACATATTGCCTTTTCATCCAGACATCATGTGTGAGATGATAAAGAGAAGAGCGTGAGGACTGATGGGTTCAGAGGAGAGGACACACTCACCTCGTGGCTCTTCGGCCTGCTTGGCGAGCTTGCGGAGGGCGGCAGCGAATCCGGACTGGGACGCCGGGCTCCCGCTGATGGGGGACGGAGCGAGGGGGCTTACAGTGGCCATGGTGCATGGTGCCGCCGAGATCATTCCTAAAGCTGGGGACTTCGGCTCATGGCTCATACCTGCGGGGAGAGAAGGACAGACAAACAGATTCAGAATGAATATTCACAGAGCGTTAAACCCGAACCCAGCCTCGAAATTAAGATTGAATTCAAATCGAACCAGTGTGTATGTGTGTGTGTGTGAAACAGGTTCTATTCAAATAAAAATACATTTCAATAGTTCAATAACAATAAATTACACAAACTGATAATGCTATAAATTTGCATGCGTTGCATGTAATGATTTAGCCCCTGATACATTAAGTGGTTTGGAACTGATCCAAACGCAGCCTGAAATAACCTGAAGAATTCAACTATGACGAGGTCAAACCACCAGTATGCAAATGGTTTTACATTTTATAGTTATTCATTCAGTAGATTATCCCAGTTGTATCCAAAGTGGAATGCTACAACTGAAGCGACTCATTCCTAAAGTGACGGTAACATTAGAAGTGCTGGAAAACAAAGTTCAGAAATCGGCAAGAAAAGTACAACAAGCCACTTCAGAAATGCAGGTTAGACAAAAACAAGACAAATGTGTGTGTGTGTGTGTGTGTGTGTGTGTGTGTGTTTTAATAACTGAAGGGGAGAATAGAGAATACTTTAGGTGCACTGTAATAAAAAATGTCTTGGGTCACCCGGTATTTGCTACATTTACATTAAGAAGTTTCAAAACCATTATTTAATCTGACTACATTTTTGGACTAAATCCAACACATTTGAAAGTGAATTTTACATGTTAAGTTCCAACTCTAAAGTGTGAGGGTTTTACAGCTTACTTCCTTTGTGTATCTCTCTCTCACACACCTCCAGCTATCACTCACTGCCAGCGTCTCTAGCAGAAACAAACAAACGCGTGCTTTATCGTGATAAACTGTGCTTCACCCCTTGCCCTTCTGCTGAACCGAGCAAAACAATTAATAATGAACTTAGAGCAGTTAGGAGAGCTGGCAGGAGCATCCTCCGCCATCAGACACAACTTCATTACAACTTAATGGAGCCAAACGCATCCAAACACGCAGAGGAACAGAACATAATATGTCCTGTAGTTGAACTGAACAGATTCATCTGGATAATCTTAAATAATGCTGGAATACAGGCTAAATGGAACATAATAAAAAAAAATTATAATAATAACTTCAAAATGGTAATGGTCAATTAAGAATCTATCTATCTATCTATCTATCTATCTATCTATCTATCTATCTATCTATCTATCCATCCATCTACCCATCCGTCTATCCATCCATCCATCTACCCATCCATCCATCTACCCATCCGTCTATCCATCCATCCATCCATCTACCCATCCATCCATCCATCTACCCATCCATCCATCCATCTACCCATCCGTCTATCCATCCATCCATCCATCCATCTTCCCATCCATCCATCCATCCATCTACCCATCCGTCTATCCATCTATCTATCTATCTATCTATCTATCTATCTATCTATCTATCCATCCATCCATCCATCCACCCACCCACCCACCCACCCACCCACCCATCCATCCATCCATCCATCCATCACTGCATCTATCCGCCTGTCTATAAAAAATAAACAAATGGCCCTTTAACAGTTTTCATAGAGACCTAACAACAACAAAAAATAGCACTATAATTCAGACACAATGTAACAATTTGAAAACAAAACAGTGAACTTGTGAACAAAAAAATAAAATAAAAAGGCTAAATAAAATAAAGAAAAAAATAAATAAAACCCCAAACCAAAACAGGTATGGTTAAATGAATTAAGAATCTATCCATCAAATGGATCTTTATATACATTATGCAAAGAGGCTTCATTAAAAGGTGAGCAATGATCCTCATATATAGGATAATAATCAAGCGCAGCATTATAACTGAGACACTATTCTCCCTGCCATTAGGAGAACCGCCATTTCAGTCGCTCTCCAGTCCTGCTAGGGGCTTATCAATCAAATCATCATATCATGTGCTCTTCAAAAACACAGCTGTCTCGCGTCCACTCATTTGTGTGTTACAAACAGACCTCTTCTCTTTATCTCCCTCATTCTCCTTCTCTTGACAAACATTCTCAATAATTCTGCTACTGAACCCATATGCGTACCCCACCCCCTTCCTCTCTTCTCTGCTGCTCACACTTTCCCTCCTGGATAGTGCCAGTCAGAGATAACAGAGAGTCTCTGGTCGCTGTGGAAATGAGAAAAGCCACAGGTATTTTACGACACACACACAGCCCACCCAACACAGACGAGCGGAGAGTGATTTATAAGGAGTAATTTCAAGGAGTGGGAGCGAGATAACATTTATTTCCCCTAGGATGCCTTAAATAAGGTGGCCAAGAGAACTCAACACATGAAAATAGAAAAAACGGCAGCAATTTAAGAAAACACCTTAATCAGTTTGACAACACATGCTCACAATGCAAATAAATACCAAAACGCGCTACAAATACAATGCAACCAAATACAGAATCGTGCTGCAAATACTCACAACGCAACCAAACACAGAAACACACTGCAAATACTCACAACGCAACCAAACACAGAAACACACTGCAAATACTCACAACGCAACCAATTACAGAAACACACTGCAAATACTCACAACGCAACCAATTACAGAAACACGCTGCAAATACTCACAACGCAACCAAACACAGAAACACACTGCAAATACTCACAACGCAACCAATTACAGAAACTCACACACAGAAACACACTGCAAATACTCACAACGCAACCAATTACAGAAACACGCTGCAAATACTCACAACGCAACCAATTACAGAAACACGCTGCAAATACTCACAACGCAACCAATTACAGAAACACACTGCAAATACTCACAACGAAACCAAATACAGAAACACACTGCAAATACTCACAACGCAACCAATTACAGAAACACACTGCAAATACTCACAACGCAACCAATTACAGAAACTCACACACAGAAACACACTGCAAATACTCACAACGCAACCAATTACAGAAACACGCTGCAAATACTCACAACGCAACCAATTACAGAAACACGCTGCAAATACTCACAACGCAACCAATTACAGAAACACACTGCAAATACTCACAACGCAACCAAATACAGAAACACACACAGAAACACATTGCAAATACTCACAATGCAACCAATTACAGAAACACGCTGTAAATACTCACAACGCAAATATGCAAATAAATACCGAAACGCGCTACAAATACAATGCAACCAAATACAGAAACACACTGCAAATACTCACAACGCAACCAAACACAGAAACACACACACAGAAACACATTGCAAATACTCACAACGCAACCAATTACAGAAACAAACTGCAAATACTCATAATAACTAAATACCGGAATGCGCTACAAATACAATGCAACCAAATACAGAATCGTGCTGCAAATACACACAATGCAACCAAACACAGAAACACACTGCAAATACTCACAACGCAACCAAACACAGAAACACACTGCAACCACAACGCAACCAAATACAGAAACACACACACACAGAAACACACTGCAAATACTCACAATGCAACCAAATACAGAAACACACAGCAAATACTCACAACACAACTAATTACAGAAACAAACTGCAAATACTCACAACGCAACCAATTACAGAAACACACAGCAAATACTTGTGAGTAAATACTTGTAACTAAATACCGGAATGCGCTACAAATACAATGCAACCAAATACAGAACCGTGCTGCAAATACTCACAATGCAACCAAACACAGAAACACACTGCAAATACTCACAACGCAACCAAATACAGAAACACACACACAGAAACACACTGCAAATACTCACAACGCAACCAATTACAGAAACACACCGCATATACTCACAACACAACTAATTACAAAAACACACCGCGCCACAACACACAAAAGTATCTATGGCAAGTATATAGGGTACGATTCCACTTTCATATAGATTACCTTTCCAGTTTCCACCACATTGTTTTAGCTGAACCCATAGAGAGAAGATTTCAATCTCTCACTAAACTATATTTTTGCTCTGACAACACAAAACATTGCTGCTTCATTGCAGTTTTTAGCATGACCTACAACCTTATTAAAGGAGTTAATTAGTCTGGCATGTTTAACAAAATATTCCACACCATTGCACATCCATTCACACAGAGACACCCCTACACCTCAAACTACCACATAAGTGTTTTAATCCCTGATCAAGCAGGATTACTGTAGGCCTGTGGCTTATTAACTTCACACCTTTGAGTATAGTCAGTCACATATACAAACACTGACTAAAATCATCAGATCTCTAGCTTGCCAAGAATGAATGGCCAAACCTTTAAAATGGCTCTCTAAAAGCACCCAAGGCTTGTTATGTGAAGATCTCCTCTCTCTCTCTCTCAAAGATGAAATCCTGCTGTGCTGTTTTTCCCAGAGGCTTTAGTTGTGGTAGAGTCAGCAAAAAACAGTCCCACAGTCTTCTGCTCCCCACTGGCTCTCTAATAAGCTTGTTCATTAAACAGTACAGCCAATGCAAATTGACCCAACCCTTGTCGACATGACCGGCTCATGTAAATTCAATGGGAGAAACAGCAGGGATAAAAGACTGGGTGATGGATGATGTGTCAAAGTGCTTTGTTGGCCACAAATGAACACACTCACACACATGCATGTCCATAATGATGACAGACAAGCATTGATGCATGAGCGACTACAGAGATCTGCTACCCTCGGCATTCATTAAGACTAGATAAAGCACCTCACACACACCTGCCTCCTGCTCATTAACCCATGCGTATGTGCACGTTTCACTGACAATATTAAAGATGGATGAGGAAGACGGTACTGATACTTCCAGAGAGAAATTCACTAATAGGTTTAGACTTCAATAGAGATTGATAACTAGAGAGAATGTTGACCACAATGCCACTGATCACAAAGGGCGTGAAGGTTGAAGACATTAGAGCGATGAGTAAGTCCCGAAACAACTCTACTTGCCATCAATGAAGCCCTTACACTAGCCTTGAATGTCCTTGATT